TGTAGTATATGTTGTGTTTTAAGGTTACGGAATATTAAGAGTAGAGTGAAGAGCGGCGGTGGAAGTGACAACAGTAACAGCACCAATACAGAGGACAGTGAGAGAATCACCACCATTACACCATCCTCCCCCAGCGTCCTACCTCCGGCTTCTTCCTCTGTCTTCGCCATCAGCAGCCACCCTCTTCCCCAGCCTTCACTCTCCTCTTCTCCCTCTAGCCCTCTCGTCTTTTACACTCCTGCAAGTAATCTCCCACTGTCTTCCCCTGCTGCATCTAGTCCCCTCTTCCTGCCTTTCTCTCCTACACCATCTTCTGAAGGGTCTTTCGTTTTCCCAGGCCAGTCGCCGTCCCTTGTCCCTCACACCTCTGTTTCCCCCCTCTCTACCAGCTCCTCCTCCACACTTTCACTGCCTTCGTCCTCCACATCCATCAGCACAACTCTCCTGTCCCGGAACCCGTCGTTACACACTTTCAAACCAATGCCAGGGTGTTGGGAGGTGAGCGCGGGTATATACAAGGCACCCGCCGCTCCTCACCCTTTCCACCACACGGCTTCGTACTCCTGCCACCCTCGCGGAGGCTACCACAGCAGGCCACCAACACATGGACGCACCAGACGAAGCAGCCTTGTGGAGGTGCGCAGTGACAATGTCTTCATGGACCTGGTGCGGACCCTGGCCTCGTCGACCAGGAGGGCGAGCACCTCCAGCATCCATACGTGCAACGCCTGCGACGAGGCCAGGATGAACCAAGTCAACAATAATAGAAAGAATCAGAACACCAGCAACAATAACACGCGAGAACAAAACAACTGGCGCAGGAGGAAGACAGGGCTTGTTTATCCACTCAGGACAGGCGCCATACTCCCAGGTCTCGTAGGTAAATAGTTCTTCCCATCAGCAGGTGTGTCTTATACTCTGATGCTCGATTGTTTTTTCCACCCCAGAAGGTCTTCGCTGCCATTATATTCTTGCTACACATTTCCAGGGTTATATTACACTTAGTCCTTTTGAAAGATACGATTATATATGTATATTTATATGTATTTATGTCTGTATCATCCGGGACACACTCAACTAAACCCTCCAACACCTTACTGCCTTCTTTTCCCCACCTCTTCCCCTTCTTCTCCTCTGCCCCTCCATTAATCTTCTATTTTAACCTCTCTCTCTTCCCTAGCCTCACCCTCTCTCTCTCCCCTCCCCTCACCCCTCACCTCACCCCCCTCTCTCTCCCCTCACCTCCCCCCACCTCCCCTCACCTCCCCTCTCTCTCCCTCACCTCCTCTCTCTCCCCTCACCTCCCCTCTCCCCCTCACCCCCCTCTCTCCCCTCCCCACCCTCTCCCCTCCTCCCCTCTCCCTCCCCTCCCCCTCTCCTCCACCCCCCCTCTCCCTCCCCTCCCACCCCTCTCCCTCCCCTCACCTCTCCCCTCCCCTCACCCCTCCCCTCCCCTCCCCCCCTCTCCTCCCCTCCCCCTCTGCCCCCCTCCCCCACCCCCCCTCACCCCCTCCCACACCCCCCTCACCCCCTCTAACCTCATTTCTTTTTACTCCTCGCCTCTATCGGAGATTAAGTGAAATCAGATTTTCCTGGAATATGTCCGTGCACCAGACGAGTTCCTGCCTCAGACCACTTTGTAGAGAGAGTGAGAGAGAGAGAGAGAGTGTGAGAATTCGTATAGACTATTAATATAAGCTTACTGAATTAGCTGTATCACACACACACACACACACACACACACACACACACACCAGGACAGTAAGTGTGGTGGTAGTGATGATGTAACTACCGTGGAGGCCGGAAGTGAGGTCATGCAGTGGGTCAGCCGACTAGCGGGGCCCCAGGTCAAGCTGCCTCTCATACATACTATTGCCCCTCACTCATACATACCTACATACATACACACACACTGTTGCCCCTCATACATACATACATACATACATACATACATACACACACACACACACACACACACACACACACACACACACACACACACACACACACACACACACACACACACACACACACACACACACACACACAGCTATATTAGTACAGAAAATATTGAGTGATAAAGAGAGTAGGAGGGAGACTGGTGAGGAGGCGAGGAGAGGAGGAAGAGTACCACAGTTCCCCCCCAGTGATGGTCCTGGGGTGAAGGTGGAAAGAAAGTAATAGTAGGGGAGAAAACTGGAAGTAGTGTAGTGACCTCTCTCTCTCTCTCTCTCTCTCTCTCTCTCTCTCTCTCTCTCTCTCATACATACATACATCAGAAACGGACAAGGAATTTAAGGATATGCTGTATATTGAACAGTTATAAATAAATAGTGAACAGTACAGTGCAAAAGTTACACAAGACAAATTTTTAGGGCTACTCTTTCGTGGTTTATGGATAACATCTGTCCAATTGTTGGTTTCAGATCGGAAATATGCTTTATGTACTAATTTTGTTCATCTGAAATTATTCTTTGCTTTATATAGTTCAGAACATCTGTTTAATATAAGGTAACGGAGTTTTGGGAGGGAAAGCTCTCTAGAAATGATTTTTGTTAGTTTGTAGCATAGTGTATATGGCCAGTTGTCAAATTTCTGTCTATTTTCTCTTTGTTAGACTCGCATACATATGTACGTGTAGGAGATCTCGCACTAAGGATGGAGGTGAGAAAGGAAACTTACAATGGCGTTTTCTATATATATATATATATATATATATATATATATATATATATATATATATATATATATATATATATATATATATATATATATATATATATATATATATATATATATATATATATATATATATACACACAATGCAGTGCTAGGGAGTTGCTGTGTGGTGAGGAGCTTGTTGAGAGTAGGTCTTGTCCGTTTGAGAATGTTGAGTAGAATGACAATCACAGCGAGGCTTGGGGTATTTATACGATTCTGCCAGATCTGGTGGAGAGATGTGAAGTGAGTGGCGCTGCTGATTGGCTGAGGTGAAGGCGGTAACTGGCCAATCACAAAGCAGTCCGAAAGCGAGGCCCAGTCTGTGGAACTCGCTGCTGGTTGGCTGGGAAGCGGATGGCAAGTGACCAATCAGCAGTTGTAGGGGAGAGTATCCACAACAATATTCCCCTTCCCCTCTGAGCGCTGCAGGAAACTTGTTGTTGGCAGGGTTGTATCCCACATGTGAGACGTAACGGGCGGGGGTGTGAACCACTCGGCTGCTATGGATGACGACTCCATCTAGTGACACGAAACCTGTGGGAGAAGCAGAGGGAGAAGGAGGGTTGTATAAGAGAAGGTTGAACAGGCGAGGAATGTGTTGCTTCTCTCGCGGCAGGTGCAAAGTCCTCAGGGGTTCCGGGTAGGGTGTCTGGGTCCATAGGGCCGGATGCAGGATCCTCATCAGGAGCAGTAAGTACCTGAGGGAGAAAAGAGGGTGCTGTGGGCAGCAATGGTGACCAATCAGCAGTTGTAGGGGAGAGTATCTGTAGTGGCTCCTCTCCCCTACAACTCCCAACTGAGCTCCGGCCGCGCGCCTACCAGCCAATCAGCGTACAGCCAGCTACGCCGAGAGACTAGGTCTATGCAGAGGACGTAGGGGTACGATCGCCGACCTAGTCTTTACCTTCATCCTCTGGTTCAGGATCAGAGCGTTTCACACCTTACGCTTAAGCCGCTGTGATTGGTCCTCTCGCTACGCTCACCCTAAATCCTGATCCTCGTAAATTGTATATATACGGCCATGCCTGGCCGGGGAGACCATTCTACACTCGGCTACTGGACCAGCAACATCTCTCACAGCTCCTCACCACTCAGCTTCCTCAGAAACCTCCTCACCCTACGGGACCTCTGAGCAAGTTTCTCCTCACCTAGTCACTCCTAAGCACTGCGCTGTACAACAATATATATATACAGAAAGCGCATTGTGAGTTTCTATCCTACCTCATTCCTGAGTGTGAGATATCTACATGTACGTACGTTTGTGTGCCCATACAAAGAGAGTTGACAACTGGCCACATACAGTACGCTACATATCCACTACCAGTTATTATCAGTGTAAATGTTTTGTACAGCTGTTGGTTGTATTTTTATCTCCTGGAAATTTTAATAGTGTATCTTTTATAAAGTTTACTTTGGATGTCTTCTTTGTGTGTTTTAATCATGGAAATTTATCCCTTCGTGTGATAATATTGTATGCCACCGTTAGTTAGCTTTTGTTGAGGTTTATTTACTGACTCGCCATAGTGACTAGTTGAAAACATGTTAGTAATGTTGTTGTGCTAGTTTTTGTTATTGTCAGGACACTTCCACTGTATATGTGTGTCATTTACGTGTGAATGACTTGTTTAAAATTTTATCATTTCCAAATTTGCCCAACAATTTCTTTTTAAACTTTGATCTCATTAAATTTTATGAATCAAAATAACTTGAAGAAAAGCTATTTATTGTTTCAAAATTTTCGTAGTGAGTTCAAAATATCGGTGACGGCATTTTTTTGGTTTATGGTGCCATAGTTTTGTAAACTTTATCATATATTGCGTTGTATGCATCTTCATTTTGTCGTCTTTACTCATGAACCTTAAGACTCATTCTTTAGATTATTCTACTCCAGGTAATGAGTGTTTTTTAATGATATACAGTACTGATCTATTTGTCAGGTTATCACAGATATATTTTGAGAGCAGAGAAAAGGTTTTGTTATCAAGTTCACTCAGTCGTTTGGTATTTATTATTTTTGTGGATGTTGCAGTCTTGTGTTCTTGTATTTTTAAGCCATTGTAGAATTTGTGTTATTTAGATGCAGTATTAATATTACTAATACAGTACAGGTGTATATTTATAATTAATACTTATGAGTTTTACACACAGTCATCACTTGTTTATTAATGATGCACATTGTCTTTATTAAGTGTTTCCTTGGTGGACTTTTCCATTGGTTCATTTTGGTCATTGTCCTCTCTCTCACTTTTCTGTGTATGTCTGACTGACTGACCTTTCAGGCTCGGGGAGCAAGCGGTCCTCAGCACAAGGCAGCCCGTATGGTAAGCTGCCTGCAAGCGCACGTTGGTGATGTGCCACGTGTACATGCATGAGCATGCATGCAAGTGCAAAACACATATATGCATACTTTACTCACACACACACACACACACACACACAGACTATAGCTAAATATACTGTTGATTCAATAAGTAGTATTATTTATATATATATATATATATATATATATATATATATATATATATATATATATATATATATATATATATATATATATATATATATATATATATATATATATATATATATATATATATATATATATATATATATATATATATATACAGTTAACCCTCACTTTACGCGGTTAATGTAACCCGGAGGGTCCCGCGTAAAGTGAGGCGGAACGTGAAAGTGAATAACATAACATATGGGATTAATTGAAATGGAGTCCGGGCCGATCCCCAAACTCCACTTTTTGACGACACACAACTATGTTGTAGTAAAAATTTTATCTTAACTTTATGATGGTATGAAAAAACAAGTAATATAGAAGAGGTTAGGTTAGGAAAGATAAAGGTTAACATAGGAAAAATAAAGGTTAGGTTAGAAAACTAAAAATTAGGTGTAACACTTACGGTAGTAGAAGAGATGGGTCGGCATACGGGGATGGAGGCTGGTTCCGAGGCAGAGGGCAGATTACTGGCCCTCAGGTGAATCACCATTACTAGGTGAATCACCATCACTGTCACTTACAGTTGTCAGGGCTTCCCTGACAAATCCCTCAAAGTCATCTTCACTGCCACTATCACTGGCTTGGGCTGGCTGTGGTGGGTTGCGGGCGAAGAAATCTGTTATGCTTTGCTGACGGCTGGCGTTGATGTTGTCGTGATACACCTTGATGTACGGCTCCATAGCCTGCACCAGCTGGGTATGGAAGACTTCATAGCGGTCATCGTCATTGTCGCGGGAAAGGAAGGACTTCATCTTCTCTGCACACTCCATGGCACCCTTAATATCACTATGACTTAAATTGTGTTCTTCGGAGAATGACGCACCTTCTTCCTCCTCTTCACTGACTTGTTCTTCTTCCAACATCTCGTCGGCAGTCACTTCAGGATCTCTGATCACCTCCAGGATGTCGTCGTTGGTGGTCTCGGAGAAGCCTGGAACTGTAACAGTCTGCGCAGCTTCTCTGGCAAGGTCCACTGCTACTGCAACATTCTGAACCTCACCAGTCACAGATTGACTCCTCCTCTCACCTGGTATTCCATGCAACACATGTCTCCATGCGTGACGAATTGTAGCAATAGACAGCTGATCCCATGACTCCACCAAGAAGTCCACAGCTTTCTTGATGTTAAATACTCTCCAGAATTGTTTGAAGAGTATTTTTTGCTGTTCTAACTGTTGATCCTCATCTTCTTCGCTCTTGCTATCGGTGGTGGTGTCACTCAGGTTACGCAACTCTTCCCTGGTGTTGGTGTAGTCGTTCAGGAGCTGGAATTTTTTTGTTGAGAATGCAGCTTTCACATTGCAAATCAACTCCTGGTCCATGGGCTGGATTAAAGACGTAGTGTTGGGAGGAAGGAAGACCACTTTTACGTTGGGGTGACGATCTAACAGTAGGGGCGAGTGTCCTGGTGCGTTGTCCAGCAGCAACAAAATATTGAATGGCACATTCTGTCGCTCACAGAATTTTTTTACATCGGGAACAAAACAGTCATCAAACCAGGAGAGGGACAGTGTAGAGAACATCCACGCCTTACGTGCGGTCAGCCAGTGGACATTTAGCTTGGTCATGTCCATGGTTTTGTAGGCGTGCGGCTTGCGTGCTGTGTGGATCACCGATAACTTGAGCTTACAGGTACCTGAGGCATTGGTGGTAAACAGGACGGTGATGCGTTCCTTCTGCATTTTCCGGCCCCGAATCCTGCTGGCATTCTTTACAACGAAGGACTTGGAAGGTAGCTTTTTCCAGAAAAGACCAGATTCGTCCATGTTAAACACCTGGTCGTCACTGTACTGTCCTTCCTCCATAATCTCACGTAAAAACGGAGGAAATTCCCAGCCGCAGCACGATCAGCACTCGCTTCTTCACCACCAATGTTTATATTGGTGATCTTGTTCCGGATCTTAAACCTCTGTAACCACCCAGAGGAAGCATTAAAGGGTTTGGGCTCTGAAGTTCCCATCTTTCGTGCCACTGCCATGTACAGTTCACGTGCGTAGTCCTTAACAGAGCGCGTGTCGACCGCCATGTTCCGTCGCGCCTGACGCACCAAGTACCTCACAAGTAATTTTTCTGTCTTGAGAAGCACCTGGTTGTGAAAATATTTGATCATAGAAGCACCTGTAGACTTTGTGATCTTCATGTGCTCCTTTATCTTGGCTGAATCCTTCTTTATAGTCCGGATCGTAGATTCGTTCACACCATGCTGGCGCGCCAAATCAACCTGCCTTGTTCCTTTCTCCAACTCTTGGATGATGGTATACTTCACCTCGTAGCTTAAGGAACGTCGTGTCTTCTTTGGCTTAGTGCCGCTGGGTCCAGGTAAGGAAAGGTTTCTCTCTGGGGGTGGTGGTCCGGCGGAAGCCATTTTACGGAACAATGGATGCGCGTTTACACGGAGTGGCCTTGAGGGATGAAACTGCCGCGGCTAGGTCAAGCGTCGTCTTTCCTCCCTCCCTCCCTCCCCCGGGTGGACACGTCATAATACTTTAAGCCAATTACAGCTAGCAGCAGAGGGGGGGTAGGGATGCATGGCCAATCACAGGTCTGATACGTCATATGACGTCAGTGATAACGCAACAAAGACACACACTGCGCAACCTTACTGCGCCGCTTGCCCAAGCGGAGGGAGAGGCAGGCAGGCAGGCGGGCGGGTGGGGCGAATCTAAAAATAGCGTCGCACCGAACACTCTCCGCGTAATGGGGTTCACGTACCGCGTAATGTGAGCACGTGAGGTTCTGGCAAGGCACCGCGTTAACGTGGAAACGCGGAATGCGGGACCGCGTAGATTGAGGGTTAACTGTGTATATATATATACATATATATATATATATATATATATATATATATATATATATATACATATATATATATATATATATATATATATATATATATATATATATATATATATATATATATATATATATATATATATATATATATATATATATATATATATATATATTTCATTTAGATCCACAATTGAAACGTGGATAAGAAAAATCTTGATAAAATCACACAGGGAAAAGGGAAACGATGGAGAACCTTAGCTTTCGTCTTTATTCAAGACATCTTCAGAGGCAACTGAATTACAAAGACTGAGAGAGAGAGAGAGAGCTTATGTATATAGGGTGACCTTACAAAACATGAGGTCAGGTAAAAAAACATGACATCCACTAATCAACACACCAACCACACAGAAAACATAAGAAGAGATTATAAGAACGGGCGACATAACTAGTCATGTCACGCCAGGTAAAAAATATGAGACCCACTAATCATCTATCATACATCTACCTTACATGCTTTCAAACCATTTTTAATTTGGGCACTGACAAATAAATTTGTGTAACGTATTATCAGTTTTGTACTGACTACCACTAAGGTTTAAAGAATACATTTCTTTAATCAAACTTCCTTCAACTGTATATATATATATATATATATATATATATATATATATATATATATATATATATATATATATATATATATATATATATATATATATATATATATATATATATATATATATACACACAAACACACACAGGAGTATATGAATATTAATACTGAAAAGTCTTTCAGCCATAGATTATATGAAAAAAACGAGGCAAACAGTACTGCCACTATAGAGAAGTTATATGGAGTACTTACTGTGGTAGATGTTATGCTTTAATGCTATAACATTGAACTATGAGTAATGCTGTACAGTACAGGTACTTGTACTGTATATCAATGGATTAACTTGCCAAAACAAAATATATACTGTACTGAATATGTTTTATGATGTAACGTTTGTTTCAACAACTGTGTACATATATTGAATTTCCTGACTTCATATCAGAATTTTAAATATTTTTCAAATACTATACTGTACAGTATATTGTACACTGGTATGCAACCACCCCTGACACCTTCAAGGGATCTCATTAGTAAATACTCCTGACAAACAATATACTGTACAGTACTGTATTACTAGTACACTTGACATAAGTGCAGTGCTGCACAGTATTATTATCTTAGATAAAATGACCTTTAATCTGTTGACTTGGTAATTACAGTTGTGAATCAACAAATAAACAACAATAGAAAATTGGAAATTGTAAAGTAGACTTAACAGTTGTCTGACAGTTAAGTTACATATTTCCTCGGCTTAAGTTACAGGTTTATGTTCTATGGTACAGTGCAGTACAACACACAAAATGGTAGATATCCATCAGTTTGGTCGACCCATAAGGAAAAAAAAAGGTGTGGAGTGTAGTGACTAAGTGGCTCCACAGTTCCCTGTCCTGAGGGTCGCTGGTATGCACACACCCCCCCCCATCTATTCAGTCGTGAATGATTCCATAATTTTAGAGTAATAATGTAAGTCAAGGTGGTTGAGGGCAATGCTGAGTCACACTTACCCTAATAGGCCATCAGGCCTGTGGGACCCACTTTCACTAGTACAGTACTGTAATCAGATGTAAGTTTTCTGCATGGAGCTACAGTACAGTATTAATCTCTGATTTGCATGGTTTTTGCAGCTTTTATCATGGAGGCATGTTGTGCTGTATATATTGTATTATAAATTTTGTTGAGTATTCAGCACACAAGGCTGACATAGCATTATCATGAACAAATGTGTCATGAAGCTGCAAACAATTTTTTAATTGTTAAGTATAGTCCAGTGTTGAAGTTTCTTCCTGTGACAGTTTGAATTTAATGTTTTGAAAAATTACAGCATGATCATAGTAAAACCAGTAAGGCCAGGTACAGTACACAGATATACATAAGTTATATTACAGTGTACAGTACTATACTGTATTAGGATATTTAGGCACTGTGGAACAAGAACAAAGACATTTGTATATACTAATAGGTATTTTATATATACAGTATACTGTACAGTACATGTAGTGCTGACATAGTGGCACCCTGTACAGTTCTGTTTTTTTGCATGGTGTTAACTGTTGTCATGTGTCAGCAGCATGCATATACAGTCCTGTTGTCAAATTATTTTCTTTTTTTGCTTCCTCAGTGTTAGTCCAGGCTAATATTACTACAGTATGTAAAAGCACTGTAGTAATTTTTAAACTCTGACTGGATCATTTCATTTTATAGAATAGCAAAACACCGATATTGATATTGAGTTACCATTTTAGATTTTGCACTTCATGTGGATTTTTGTACATTTACTATTATATTTTCTCATTTCCTTGAGTCTGTTTTAAAGGTCAGGTTCCATTACCGGTAATTTTAAGAAAAGTAACATCAGCTTTGTAGATGAAAATTTCCTTCTTTTTTTTTTTCTCCTGGCCAGCAATACTTTTTTTTTTCTTTTAGTAAAGTGAAATCAGAAGTTACTTTTTCACAGACCTTGTGGGGAAGGAAGACTTGAACACCCCAAACTTGTACAGTAGTATTTATAACTATTAAACCTATTTTCTTGGCTTTGAAAATCCCAGGTGTACTTGAAATGTTATTGAAATATCATACTGAGCAAGAGGTGTACTTTTTGCTCAAACTAGTTTTCAGTCTTGACTTCATATTTCTTTTCCCACTTAGGTGGTGATCCTCCTGACCTGCTGGATGTTAACGCCACACACGAGGGGGAGGTGATGCCAGTCATCCGCAAGAAAGAGAGAGATTACATGGGCATGTTTGAGTATGACCGGAGGGAGGAGATGCAGATCATACGCGTCCTCATATATGGTACGTACAGATTTTGCACATCAGGGTGTGTCTCAAGACTTGTGCCTCCTGTATTTATATTTGTTCTTATGATTTTTTAGTTAGTACTAAAACCTCTACAGTATACAGTATCATGGTATACTGTAATTTGAATATGTACTCCTGTGGTTTAAAGTTTCTTTGTAAAGATTCTTAGAAAAAAAAAATTTAAATGTCACATTGCAACTGAAGTGAGACTGGTATTATTAGCCGAAATTTGTGACATGACACCCCATGTTCCTCAACAATATTTGGTGGAATTACCGTGACCAACTGAAGGTTCAGTTGCAACCATAACCCTTACAGCCCTGTTGGAGATGTCACTTGTCACTTAGGGTTGAAGGATAAAGAGTTCTGTTGTCATCAGCCGTGTGCTCTGCAACATTTATTTGACTTTATTGTAAACTGTACTCTCATTAGATCAAACCTTACCCATTATCTTCTGATTGTACTGTTACTTTATATCTATGTAAGGTTATTCAGGCAACAGAAGGGTTTATTTAGAAAAAACTTCAATAAATTTTACTACATATGTATCAAGGAGACTTTTCCTGGATAAATAACAAATGGTTTAATCCCAGTTACCCTTTGAAACCAGTGTTGAAATGATTGGATACTTGCATTCTTAATATACTGGTACCTTTTGATATTAAACTGATTGTCTTTCTTTTCTATTTAATACTGTATTTACTCTTTTATTGAATACATTATTCTGTTATTTTGTCAGAACTGAAACCACGTGTTGCTGTAACATTCCTGCCTGGGCTGCCTGCATATATTTTGTTCATGTGCATACGGCACACTGACCATATCAATGATGATGAAAAGGTGCGGTCCCTTCTAAACAACATTGTGAATGGTGTGAAAAGGGTGATCAAGAAGCGTCATGAAGACTTAGATTCTACTGTATTATGGCTTTCTAATGTCCTACGACTTCTACACAACCTCAAGCAGTACTCAGGGGACAAGGCTTTCCAGGCTGAAAATACTGTTAAGCAGAATGAACAGTCTCTCAAGAACTTTGACTTGTCAGAATACCGACAAGTCTTGTCCGACATTGCTGTTTGGATTTATAACGTGAGTGATGATTTAGTCATAGATTTAGTACTGTACTTTGGCACCTGTGACCACCTGATCACACCAAATGGATGCAAAGCATTATTTGTCCACATTCTGAACCCATTATTTTATTATAACAATTTCTATACTATAGGTGGACTCTTATAAAGGTTGTTTATATGCATTTAGTATTATTTTAAGAAAGGATAATAAGGACTTAAGTATTATGGTTTTAGAACTAAGTATGGTAGTACAGTAGAGTATACAGTACAAGAACTGTACACATATTCCAGTGTTTTTCTTGATAGTCACAGTCTGCCCATTACTTACATCTCAGTAAAGATTCTCTTATGTAATTGTACCCCAGCCCTGGTGTCCTAATACTGTACCAAAGGTGCCTATGTCTGATTTTTTTGTCTAAAATTGTTAATGGTGTTATATACAAGTTGTGTAAATTGAGAATTTCTTGTACCAATATTTAATCTATACTTTTATTAGTGGTAAAATTTTTACATTCATTCAGATCAGTTGTTCCGTGTAATTACACATGTATAAAAAAAAACATTCATCTTTGCAGGGAGTGATTAAATTAATGGAGGAAAAAGTGCAGCCATTGATCGTGCCTTCCATCCTGGAACATGAGGCCATTACAGGTCTCTCAGGCAACAAGCCGGGTGGTATGAGAGGTGAGGATAATAGCTTTTGATGGCTTTAGTACCAGTAATTACACAACCTATATCTCAAATGTGTGTAGGACTCTGGTTCCAGGGGTAAGACTGAACAGCTATTGAGTATTTTTTGTATGTAGGTAATTCAGTTGCCCATTTAGAACTACATGCCAGTATTGTGTTATGTTCATTCACATTTCCCAGAATTAGAATGTAATTTGTCTAGGCTGTTTTTAATATATTATCTCTCCAAATTACTAGGTCGAGCTGGCAGTTTAGCCCGTGAGCTGGAATCCCCTGTAGAACCTCAAAAAGCTCTAGATCTGCTACTTAAGGAGATGACACAGTTCTATCGCACACTTGCAATGTTTGGAACTGATCCAGAGCTTATTACTCAAGTTTTCAGACAGGTAAGTCAAGCCATACAGTAACAATAATTATATAAAGATTACTTCAGTTCATCAAGCTTCCTGTTATAAGTTGAGACCAACCTGCTTTATCAGGGACTCCAAGTTCCTTTCAAGATTACCCAATTTCTGATCAAGCCCAAAAATATATACTGTAGTACAATATACAGTATATATGAAAACTTGGCATTCTTTTGTATGTTCTATTTTTATATCTTATTCCATTTAGTCACTTTTTTAAAGCTGTATTTGTCCTTATACTGATTGTTACTCTCCTAATGTCATACAGCCTCCATTGGTGAAATACAGTCCAGTGCTTACAACTCATCTTCGTGTATAATCCTATTCTGCAATTGCTTAAGGAATGTTTTCTTAAAGATTTTAAATTACCTAACCTAAATTTGCTATTTAATGTCCTTGTAGTTTGTGACAGGTTGGAAGAATATAGTCTGGAACATGTTTCATAATGAGTAATTGTTTTCATTCCAGATATTCTACTTCATCTGTGCTGGATCTTTGAACAACTTGTTGCTCCGTAAAGATATGTGTCACTGGTCAAAAGGCATGCAGATTCGTTATAACTTAAGTCATCTGGAACAGTGGACACGTGATATGCGACTCCACGAGTCAGGTGTCACAGACACTCTTGCTCCCATCATCCAGGCTGCCCAACTTCTTCAAGCCCGCAAGACCGATGATGATGTCCACTCCATATGTGACATGTGTGACAAGCTCTCTGTGTCTCAGGTCAGTACAGTACTTTGTTTTACTGGTAAGGATGTCAAGTCGTGAGAATAATGGAGAAGGGTAGATTTTTGTGAGAAATATTTCCTCTTAAGCTGCTGATCTTATTTATTTATGGCTTTGTGTTTCCGTCTGTTCCCATTAATTGTACAGCATAGTGAAGGAGTGTTATAACAAAAAAAATATTGATTGTTGTTATTAATTGATGCTGCTATGTGAGAAGGTGTTACAGTACTGCATATATTTATCAGGGTTCTCTGTCTCCTGCATTGTTGTGGTGTGGCTGACCTCAGGGTGTTGATCTGGTGAACTTGAAGCTTCACTGGTCTGTGGTAAAAGAAAAAAAAGAATAACTGTTTGGAAAACATATACAAATCTGTACCAACTAATGATAAATTCACAAAGGGTACATGAATATCTATACAGTACTGTATTAAAAGAGCTGATACATGAAAATTATCAGTGCATTATTCCTGATTGGAATTTCTTTTAGCAATGATGTATTATTACTAACATCATCCAATTTTAAACAGATCATCAAGATCCTCAACCTGTATACACCAGCAGATGAATTTGAAGAACGTGTTCCCATCACCTTCATTCACAAGATCCAAGCTAAATTACAGGAACGGGCAGAGGGTGAACAAGCTCAGGTAAGTATTTTTGTGAATTACTTTTTTTTTCCAATGGATATTAAAGTATGTACTGTATTGTCATAATTAGATACACAATTCCAAAGAAGGAAAAGTGTCTGCATTTGTGAATATATAACTGATAAATTATAGTTCTCACAAGTGTATTGGGTTTAAGATTAGTGAAAAACTAATAAGTAGGTCTGTGCTAGTGATGAACAAAATTATGCATTGTTAAAGCTATTTTACTTTTCCTGCTCTACAGGCAACCTTACTGATGAACACCAAGTTTGCCTTCCCTGTTCGGTTCCCCTTCAACCCATCAAGCATTCATCTAGAGGACGTTGAGCTCCCCGAAGCACTTCCCCTAGGCATGTTGAAGAAGGTGTAATCAAGTTAAAAAGCCGGTGGTGATTCTGTTTGCATAGAGCAGCTAGTGAGAGGCAGCAATAAATTAGTCAAAAGAGATGCCATGAAACCTTCAGGAGTGAGGCTGATAATAATTTACTTTGGCAAAAGTCTGCATGGAAATGCTAGACAGTTAATTGTATTATATAGCTTTTAAAAGAGAAAATCAGTGGGAAGCAGTTATTGCTGTGAAGTACCTTATTATCTGAAACAAAGTCATCCAACTCCTGGAGAATAAAGTCATAACCAGTTAATTGTACTGTCATAATGAAGCCATGTTGCTTCTTAATCACATAATGTTTTTTTAAGTGAAATGAATAGGTCTTTCATCGGTGAAGTGTCTCATGGAGTCAATTTGGACAATAACACAGTTTATTTAGTTAGGTCACCTATTTATGAGGACTTGAGGGTGGATGTTGTGTGATAGTTCATAAAAAAACAAAATGAGTCTGCCGGGTTCTCTTATCACTTATTCCTTTGCCATGTGTTTATCTTCCAAAAAAATGAGGCCTTGGAATTGAATTGAAATGACTTCTTGGAGAGTAGTAAGATAGTGTATAGAAGTCAAAAGCAAGCCTTTGCTCTTGATTTCTATCAGAGCAGCTTTATCTAAATTCTAGGGAAATAAAATGAATCATTTACTGTATGTTTTGAACACAATTTTATGCCTCCACAAGGTGACACTCAGTATTAAATGTTGAAAAATGCATTTGTTTGCTCTGTATTATTTAATTTCACTATGGAAATTATTCCACTCCATATTCCTTTATTGATCTATTTTCCATGACAAAGGTATGTAAAAAAATAGTAATTTAACTAAAAACTTGGATTCGACATCATGTTAAGCAGCAGCGGCAAGGCGGCCACAAGTAGGTATTGTACATAATTGCTGCTAATGCATTTTAACTGGTTCTCTTGTGAAATGGCACATAACTTAATGCATTCCTTTCACATTCCAGAGCCTATAGTTAAATATTACTATAATGTAATACTGTATATGGTTCATAGTGTTATTTATTTATTGTATAGATGTTCAGAGTTTAACTTATGGAGAGCTTCGTTTACAATATTAGGTGTTCTACACAGATGGTGTGTTGATGCCACATGAAACATATGGGAGGACTAGATCCTTTTTTTTTTTTATCATTACACATAATTTCTTTTCACAAAATATGGCTATGTACAGTAAAAATGTGAATTTAATTTGTATGGTTTCATCTTTTTCAAGACTATTAGAAATGGTACATACCTAACTCATCTGCACATTCCATGGTGATCTCTTACCAATTCATATATATATATATATATATATATATATATATATATATATATATATATATATATATATATATATATATATATATATATATATATATATATATATATATATATATATATATATATATACAGTATATATATATATAATTTTAAAGCCCTATGCTAATGACAGACTCTTCGTTACCTTAGTTCTTGTGCATTTTTTAGCACTTATTTGTCAGAGTATGTAGAAGTTGAATTGCTTGTCACCTTTTTTTTTATGCTGTACACTAGGGAGAATCATCCCATGATAAGGCACATACTGTGTTAGTCAGATTTGACATTTTACTGTACATCATAAATGACTAATGGCAGAGTCACAAACCAAGAGAAGTTATCATTAGGGAGATATTTAATTTTTGTAAATGTTTAGATTTGCTTTTTTCAGATTGGGTCATTTATATTCTTTCATATTATTTGGAAGACAAACGTCATTTGTAAATACACTGTTGCAAATGTGTTGCGTGAATTTAATTTAATCTTAAATGAAGTTAAACCAAATGTATACTGTAGCTATTTGGCCAGAAGTGGTGAGTACCAGTTGGTATATATAAATATATATACAGTAAAATTAAACTTTGTTTTGTAATCCAGGGCGTGCAGTCTATGAGAATTTTAATATGTATTATTAATTTATTTGTCAGTGATTACATTGAGATTTCTCAAGTTTTATTACATAATTAATAATGACAATAATAATTCATCAATTAATAACTAAAATTGTACTAATATTACTGTAACATCTAGGTCATTCAGTGCTGCAAGTTATAAGTTAGGCACCAGATACAGTACTGTACTTATACATGGGCACCAGACACAGCATTTATACAAGGGCACCATACACAACACTTATACATGGGCACCAGACACAGCACTTATACATGGGCACCAGACACAGCACTTATACATGGGCACCATACACAACATTTATACAAGGGCACCATACACAACATTTATACATGGGCACCAGACACAGCACTTATACATGGGCACCAGACACAGCATTTATACAAGGGCACCATACACAACATTTATACATGGGCACCAGACACAGCACTTATACATGGGCACCAGACACAGCATTTATACATGGGCACCAGACACAGCACTTATACATGGGCACCAGACACAGCATTTATACATGGGCACCAGACACAGCATTTATACATGGGCACCATACACAACATTTATACATGGGCACCAGACACAGCACTTATACATGGGCACCAGACACAGCATTTATACATGGGCACCAGACACAGCACTTATACATGGGCACCAGACACAGCATTTATACATAGGCACCAGACAGTACTTATACATAAGATGTTACAAACTTGGGTGCTACATATTATTTATTTAACTGTTTGTAGCATGCAGGGAAACAAGTGCCAGATATTTGTATGCAGGTATTGGCAAAAATATGTATGTATAGTGTTGTCATATAATTTAGGCATGAGAAATTTCTATATACAGGTATATCTGAATTTAAGACAAAAATCTATTGTGGTTTCAGCAGGTTCATTAATAAGTTTTATAAATGTGAATGATTGGTTTATGATCAGACCAGAATTCCAAAACATCTCATACCCCAGTTTTGTATGTTGACATGGAAGTGTTGTAGTTTTATTTCCATGATCAAGACTGGCTGTGTGTTAATGAAAATTCTACGTTATTTTTTGTTTTAAGACATATTTCTATTTTACTGATTCATTCTGTGTTCTTTGGGTGTATACTTGAGCCTAACCAATATTTTTCTTTTGTGAAACATTGTAACTAAATTAGTTGAAAGTAGGTAACTGTCCAAAAATTTTGATTTATTTAATACAGTACATGTGTCTTATATTATTTCCAAAGAGATTTATATCATGGTTAAAACATGGTGGTCTGTTTCTTTTGGGAATTATTATTAAAGGCTGAAACTTGGTTTTAAAATTCAATATCAGTCTGAGAAACAAGGTGATTCTTTGCCGTACAGTACACTGCCTAGAAATAAAGGTTGAAGTAATAGCAGTGCTGTGTTAACTGTGTGTTGCCTTCTTATTTAAAAATGTTAATTGGAAACCAATAAATACAGACAAGTTGTATATTGTGTATTATTTACACAATTTATGAATTCCCCCCTTTTGATTTTAATTATTAATACTGTATGCCCAAGAAGCGGCAAACTCTGCAGAAGATTTATGGTCAAGTAAACTTGTGGAAGCACAAGACATTTTCATTTAGCACCATCAAGATGTGGGTAGCATTCAAGAAGTACAGTACAGGTAAACCTCAATAAACGATTGAGTTAGGAACCTGAAAAAACCCATTGCTAAGTGAAATATTAGAGATAGGGAATTGCCACTTTAATTTTATTTCTATAACCTTCTAGCAATGGCCCAAGAACTTCAGCTCATTGTTAACATCACACCTAGGTCCTTTTCACATTCAGTCTCAATTAATGCAGTTTCTTCATCCTGTTGGGACATGTGATACGCCTCCTTACCATTGGTACGTCCCAGGTGCATCCTCTTACACTTCGTGACATTGAATCTTAGCAGCCATTTCTTCAACCATTCTTGAAGCTCACAGAGACCCTTCTGCAGCTCTTCGCTGTCTGCTTGGTTCTTAATTTCCCGAAATAACTTGCCGTCGTCCACAAACATTTGTATGGGGGAGTGTACAGCATCAGGCATGTTATTTATGAAGCAAACAAACAACAGCGAGCCCAATACACTGCCCCGTGGTACCCCACTTGTGACGGGTACACATGATGATTTCGTGCCATTAACCACCACACACTGCTTGCGGGCATGGAGAAAGTCTCCGACCCACGCTAGAACATTTCCCCGAATCCCGTACCCTTCCAGTTTAATTCTCAGCCTTTCATGGGGTACACTGTTGAAAGCCTTGTCAAAATTTAGGTATATGTACTGTCGATATAACTACCCTGTTCCAGAATTTGGATCCAAACATCCAGTACCTCGAGTAATTGCGTTAAGCAGGATCGCCCCGGCATAAGACAGTGTTGGCAAGCCTTGACAAGGTTGTTTCATAGTAGATGTTCCATCATGGCATCTCTTATAATGCTTTCAAATACTTTACATGCTATGCTGGTCAGGCTCACCGGTCTATAGTTATTTGTGGAGTGACACTCGCCCTTCTTGAAGATAGAACTCACATAAGCCATTTTCCAATCACTGGGGACCTTTTGCTCATCCAGGCATTTACAGAACAGGATCTTCAGGGGCTCAGCAAGCTCGTTGCACAACTCTCTTAGCATTCTGGGATGTACCATGTCAGGGCCAGGACTCTTATGAACCTTTAGCTTTGACAGTTTATTTCTTATAACCTCTTCTTTGAACACAATGTGGGTCAGTACCGTGTCGAACCGTCTGTCCTCAAACGCAAGAAGATTAATCACACCCTCTCTTGTGAATACCGAGGAAAAGAAACTGTTCAATGCCTCAGCTTTGTCCTGGTCAGAATCTGCGTAACTACCATCTTCAAGCCTCAGATCCGATACTCCTACTCTCATTTTTAATTTTGACTTTGCATAGCGGTAAAATGCCTTCGGATTTGACTTGACCTTGCTTGCAACCAGCCTCTGGAACTCCTTTTCAGCCCTCCCACACACTGACTTTGCTTGGTTTCTGGCTCTTGCATACATCCTCCTGTCCTGCTCATTGTTTGACCTAACCCACACCTTGAAATACTGGGTTTTCTTCTTAACTTTATTGACCACCACATGGTTCATGTGTAGGGGTCTCCTTGTATTCCTAGAGATTTGCTCTAGGGTATATATTTCTTGACCAAATGGTTCACTTTACTAGCTATGATATTCAGCATAGTGTCTGCATTCTTATGCCTTAGTGAGTCAGGCCAGTGGATACCCCTCATCCCATCATAATTTCCCTTGTAATATTTGCACCTTGGCCTGGTTTTGTCGTGAACGAAGTAACAGTTAAATCTGAATGACATTACATGATGGCTGTTGCCAACAGTTCTGTGCGGTTCTATGTGGCTCAGCGGTTCTATGCAGTTCTGGGTAGTTCTGTGCAGTGGTGTGTGGTTCTAGGCAGTTCTGTCGTGGATTTCTCCCCTACAAACACTGTTTGTCGCTGCGTAGCCGACCCCACGAATTCCCCAGTGTATGCCTCGTGGTCTACGTCAACCAGCGCCGCCCACGGAGCGGGGGTCAACTACTAAGCCACGCCAACCCCCGCTATTTAAGACCTGACCTCGTGGTGATCGCCCTCTTTCTACCTACACCAACCAGCCAGCAACACCTCCTCTCCTCCACCTGCCTGGCGGTCCTCGCTCCCGCCGGAGAGCATGGCGACCCACAAGCTGGTCCTCCTCTGAGCATCCTCACCAACCAGCTCTCCCTACATCACGCTTGTAACCATGCTGCCTTCCCAGCACCAAGCTGCATTGTACATCCAATACAACATGTATACAGAGAGCACATTGTGAGTTTCCTTTCTCCATCCCATCCTGAGTGAACACCAAACAACCCATAAACCACAAATGGTGACCCCCGGAGATTCGCACTCACACAGGATGGAGGAGAAACAGATCACGCCCCCAGTCTTCAAGTAACATGGAAGACTGGCTTATCCACCCAGAGGCAGCTCTCATCGGCTCTACAGCTACTGTCTCTAAACCACAGGTTAGACACCCTAGAGCAGCACTGCTTCTCAAAGCAGACACCAGCTCCTCTTCCTGCCGCAAGCACCACGTCCTACCGACCCCAGCACACCCGTCCTGCCTCAGACGCCGCCCTGGCCCAGCAGTACCCCCTGCCGCTTCTCCTGACGCGGCCCCTGCTCCTGAGTGTGGACCCACACACCCCTCTTTTCTCCCTCAGGTACTCCCTGCTAATGTCCTGCACCCTGCTGCTGTTGTGGACCCAGCTGCTGTCACGAGCCCTCATCCGCTTCTGCCGACACAGCCCCTGCTCCTGACCCAGGCCCACACACCCCAACAGGCGTATCTGACGACTCTGTACCTGCCGCGAGGGAAGTACAACATTCATCGCCTCCACACACCCTTTTTCTCCCTCTCTACTCCCACAGGTATTGTGTATTTAGACAGTTGTCTCTAGCGACCGGCTCATCCACGCCATCACCGTTCTCTCACATGTGGCATGCACCGCCCGTTCTGCCTCACATGTGCTATGCAACCCTGCAGACAACAAGTCTCCTACACCGCCTGGAGGGAAGGGGGAGCATTGTAGTGGATTTCTCCCCTACAAACGCTGTTTGTCGCTGCATGGCCGACCCCACGAATTCCCCAGTGTATGCCTCGTGGTCTAGGTCAACCAGCTCCGCCCACGGAGCGGGGGTCAACTACTAAGCCACTCCAACCCCCGCTATTTAAGACCTGACCTCGTGGTGATCGCTCTCTTTCTACCTACACCAACCAGCCAGCAACACCTCCTCCTCCTCCGCCTGCCTGGCGGTCCTCGCTCCCGCCGGAGAGCATGGCGACCCACAAGCTGGTCCTCCTCTGAGCATCCTCACCAACCAGCTCTCCCTACATCACGCTTGTAACCACGCTGCCACTTCCCAGCACCAAGCTGCATTGTACATCCAATACAACATGTATACAGAGAGCACATTGTGAGTTTCCTTTCTCCATCCCATCCTGAGTGTGAACCCAAACAAACATCTCATACCCCACAGTTCTGTGTGACCCTAAGTGGTACTGTGCAATTCTCAACTGTGCTATAAGGTTTGTTTTTTATTTTTAGCGGTGGGGTTTTCACAGTTCATGGTGTATCGACGGTTTTTGCAGTTTTTACTATTTGCTGTTGTTTTTTTCTCACTAGTTTTCGTGTTTTTCAGTTTCTTTCAGCTGGGGGGGGGGGGCAGTTTTAGGAAGTTCTTGCACTGTGTAAATTTTTAAAAAAATTATCAGTTTTCGTGCTGTCTTTTGCGGTTTTCTCTTTTCTGGCCGGTTTTGTGTAGTCCTAGGTGGTACTATGCAGTTCTGGTCAGTTCTAGGCGGTGTTTGTGGTTTGTAGAGTTTTATTGCATTTTTTGCAGGTTTTAGCATTTTTTGCCATTGTTTTTTGCAGGTTTCTTGGATTTTTTTAGTTGTTTTCAGGTATTTTTCAGTTTTAATAGGGTTTTCAAGGTTTTTCACAGTTCTTTAATTTTTTGGTGGTCTCAAGGATTTTTCACAGGTTTTTATTTGTATAAATAGTATTTTTTTTTCGACGTATTCACTGTTTCGGGGGATTTTCCAAGGTTTTTCGCATTTCTGGCTGGTTCTTTGTAGTACTGGGGGTTCTATGTAGCTCTGAGCAGTTCTATATGGCTCTTAGCGGGTTCTATGTGGTTTCAGGTGGTTTTTGCGGTATGCTGTTTTTCAGGGATTTTTAGTGTTTTGCCTTTTTTCGTATTTTCATATTTTTGGCAGTTTTAGCTTTTTTATGATTTTCTGTGATTTTTTAGGGGTTTTCAAGATTTTTTTAAGTTTTTTAGTTTTAACATTTTTGGTTTTTTTCTGTCTTTGAGGATTTTTGCAGCTTTGTACAACCATGGAATCTGGGATTTTTAACATGTGCAATAAATATTTCTCATCATTTTTACTAACTTTCATTCTATACATTTCCATCACAGGTGAATAATAATGAACCTACTCTAATAGAACCTGACCTAACCAACCAAAGAAAATTACCTAACCTTACCTCACTTCCTAGACAGGGGTTAAACCTCTGCCATATTAAGAGAAAGTACTTATTTTGATATCTGGTACCAATGAAAGCATTTTCTTGAAGCCTCATGGTGTAATTTTTTTATTTATTTTTTTTTGGACGTGAGAATAAACAAAGTGAACTGGTGACAGGTGCTCCCATATATGATAATAACAAGAGAATAAAACGCATCCAGTATCTGTTATTTGATATTTACAAGGTAAGTGACTAAATTTACATAAGTTGGCCCAACTCAATTTCTTAATTAAAAATGCATTTTTCACATAGTTCATACTATTCTAAGACACTTTTCTTCTATAACGCTTCCATCGGAAATTTAATTTAAAGTGGGCAGAGCTCTGAAGTCGAAGGACAATTTGGTTAAAATAATCGAAAAATATAAATTTCCAACGGAAGTGCTATAGAAGAAAATGTCTTAGAATAGTCTGAACTTTTACTTTACTTTTATCCTCTTCACCAAATGATCGGCTCGTTAGCCGCTTGGGCAATTGGTCACGTCTCTTACGCACTGTTGGCAAGTACTGGGCATGCACTGGCTCCTGAATGTACCTGAACCTGCTCCAGTGTTGGTCAAGTCTTGTCTTGAAAGAGCTCACACTTGGTGCCGTCACAACACTTTCTGGCAGATTGTTCCAAGAGTTCACAACCCTCACTCTGAAAAAGTTTGCCCTCACAGTTTTCTGGACTTGCGGCTTCTTCAATCTTGAGCTGTGATCCCTTGTGGGGCGAGCGTCCGCCAGCTCCAAGTAAGGACACTCGACTGAGTAGTGCCCCTTGAGATGCTTATACGCCTCAACTAGGTACCCCCTTGCCCGTCTGTAGTATAAGCTAGGCAGGTTCAGGCGCTCCAATCTCTCAGGGTAGTTGAGGTGCCGAAGTGCAGGCACCAGTCTGGTGGCCCTCCTTTGAACATTTTCAACCAACTGACAGTCCCTAGCATATCTCGGGGACCAGATGGGGTGACAATGCTCCAGATGGGGAAGCTCTTCACTCTTGAAGATCGTTACGAGGGACGGACAGTCTAGATATCTGAACGGTCTTCTTATAAGACCCAATAATTTATTTGCCTGATTTACCTTCTTCTCGCAATGGCCCGAGAACTTCATCTCATTGTCAACATACACACCTAGGTCCTTCTCACTGTCTCAAATAGTGCAGTTTCTTCATCCCATTGGGACATATGATACCGTTGGTATGCCCCAGGTGCATCCTATTACACTTCGTGACTATTCTAAACTGTGAAAAATGCACTTTTAATTAAGAAATTGAGTAGGGCCCACTTCTGAAAATTTAACATCATAGAATTATTAGATCTATAGATTGCAAATGGGAAAATCCTCGAATGAGATGATTGTACATGAACTAATACCACCTTATCTTAACCAGCTAATATTGACGACTACCCGGTATATGTAAACTTCAAAACAAATAATGAGTCGGCAGTGTAGTCGTCACATTAGCCTCCTCACCCTGCTAATAAATTTGGTAATAACGGAGACAAACTGCTAAAGGTAAGATGCGTGTACATCAAGATAATAGGTGTACAACTTATGAGGACTTTTAGAGTAGAAATAACCAATGTTAGATGAGCATGATACTGTACTTACCAAGAAATATAGAGGAAGGCATTATTACTCCCGCATATCAGTGTAGATACCTTGGAGTGACTTTCAGGTCTTGACATTGTTGAGTCTTCCTCTTCTCTCAACTCTACTTAAAACACAGTTAAGGTAGATATAGCATTACCGATTCATATGATACAGAAACTCGAATAGTAAGCACTTGAAGATTAAGAAGCGTATGGCAATTTTGCACACTGTGGAACGGTCCGACTAATTACCCAAATGTAGCCGCAATGAAGTCAAATAATGGTCCTATATGAATAAATCGGACTGCTAATCACTTCTCGACTAGTATTTGGTGTCAGAAAGTCACAAAAAATTGGATAACCTTTTCATGTGTAGGTGCTTCGTTTTTTAGTTCTGACCCATTTCCCCGTCTATATTAGTACAGTACAGTACTGTACCTCACAAAGTTGGCAGGGCTTTGAAGAAGGAAAAATAATATTAGAATAGTATTCTAAGTGATGATATAAGGATGTCTTTTTATATTAGTGCACCGTTCTATCTAACCTTACATAGTAAGGGGGGCGCCGCTCCACCCCCCTCATTGGTTCACAAATAGGGTGGTAGAGTAGCAACTTAGTAGTAAGTACTGGAATGCTGGAAAGTTTTAAAAGGAGGCTAGATAGATTCATGGATGATAGAGAATGGTAGTAACTCTCGACAGGAGATGCCATGCACAGGCCAACCGGCCTATTGTAGACAAGATATTTTATGTTCTTATTAGGTTGGGTTGGGTTAGGTTAGGTTTGGTTGGTTGGTTTTGGCGATTTTCTATGTTTTTTTTTACACATTTCTAATACCCAAAGAAAGAACTGTGCACTACTATAAATTTACCGATTTTTCCTTAAATTCTGGATATAGGAATGGCAATCGTTTGCAAAATGTCGATGTTTATTGGTACGGCAAGCAAATGCACATGCATGGTAGGCAGACTATACAATGATAGTTACTAAGATGGTGTTCTTTCTGACTTACCTAACCTAATCTAACTTAAACTACCTTAACCAAACCTAATGTAACCTAACCTACCCCATAACCTAATGTAACCTAATCTATCTCATAACCTAATGTAACCTAACCTACCCCATAACCTAATGTAACCTAATCTATCTCATAACCTAATGTAACTTAACCATTAACAATGCAGTCTGTCAATACAGCTGCCATACCTGTATCCACTATGTTTACCTTATTGTGCTTATTGAGAGGAGAGATGCCAAAAGTACATCTTGCCATGCACTATTGTAACTTACATTGTGACTTTTGGAAAGATTACAATAGGTTGAGTGAATTAGGATATACAGTACATAACTCACAGAACTGTTAGTCACAATATTACTGTACTGTATTCACTAAGTGGATCCTGGTGTACTGTACTTACCAAAAATGTTGAGTGGCTGTGGAAGGACATAAAGACCTGGGTTCTCAGTGCAGGAAATCGAAAATACCTCCATTGACATTATTTTACAGGTACTTGTTCATTTATGCTCGCCTAGATCACCAAATTATTCTTCACTAGTTCTTGAAAATGGTTGTGCTTTGCTTCCTTCTGCCCCAGCTGTAAGTTTGGTTTATTAATTAGGTGAATTTAAACTTTTTTTAATTGGGTTAGGTACATTAAAATTGGCTTGGTTAGGTTAGGGTTTGCAACACTGCTGTAGTTTTCTGTAGGGAGGTTAGACATTTGTAACACTGCACCAGCTGCTAAAAACCGTGAAAGAAAAAATTTAAACCTAAAAATTTATTAAAATATAGTCAAATGTTTTAAACCCACATTTTCCCTCTTGTTCAATGTCCTGCTCATTTTGTGGTGTATTAATATTGAAGGAAGAGAAAAGGGCCATGACCCAAAAATTATCCTTAGAACATAAAAAAAAAATGACCCTAGAAAAACCATGTCTTCTTCTTGGTGTGAGGAGCTGGTATTTTCTGCTGTGTTAATTCTGAAGGAGGTTTACAACTACCTGTACTGTAGTAATGGAAGTTAACCTTGTATAGACAGATGGCCGAGGGAGCGAGTGTAGGCCGGCGGGTGGAGGAACTGACCACACCGGCGTTTCTTGTGGACCTGGCCAAGGTGAAGACCAACTGTGCCAACATGCTGGCTACCTGCAAGACCATAGGAGTTTCTCTTAGAGCCCAGACTAAGACCCACAAGACCATGTAAGTTCTTCCGCCTTTTTAGCAACCTCACAAGAACAGGTACTCTAGTATGCATACCCTAGATACCAAGGACACTTGTAGGCATCATGATGAATTGCACAACTTAACTACCTACTGTATTAAATTTCCCCATAGAATATAAATGCTTTCTTACCTTATGAAAACGATGAAAAGTATACAAGCATTATTTTGTGTGATGCTAATTTGATTTTTCTGACCTCTGATACTTGTAGTAAACTACAAATAGTTTACTATGTACTGTATATGGTACTAGGCCCAAGACGTCACCATTAAGGTGTATTCTGTATAAGAAGGTACTGTACTGTACTCCTTTATGCAGAAGGTGGTAGATATAAGGAACAGTTCACCAGCTGTAGGTGTGGAAGCGAGAACAATACTGTGCTTCAAAATAGTCCTGGACAAGATTATCAATGGGGGATCATATACAGGCCATTGGTATGCTGCCCCCATTCTGGGCACCAGTTGTAGTGGCTGTCAGGTAAATCAGAATGTTGATTTGACTTAGGACAGGCCAAGAATGCCATTACAGACTTGCAGGTATTCTGTATTCCCTGATTTACAAAAAGGTTCCATTCCTGAAAAACCTTTTATAATTTTAGTTTTTTAATTATGTCTTAAAATGCTACGAAACTGTTTAAATGACAACTTTCGGTGTACTCAATGATGAGCCAACAAACATAATAAATGGAGCAGTGGAGCACAGAAGTAACTAAGAAACTGCACAACTGGTTATGATGCAGTGTGCAACTGTGAGCTCCAGCCAATACATGGTTTTAATTTGTTAGTGATGCACAGAGTTGTAAAGTAAGGAAATAAATTTCCTTGAGTACAGTACTCGAGTAAAATTTTTGGGTACAGTATTTACTTTTTAAAAAGTACTCAAATTTTTCAATACTTTTACTTAAGTATGGAATTCTAATACTTTTACTCCAATACAAATGAAAAAATAAAAATTGTCACTCATTACATGCCTCAAAATCTGCACGCTGAAAACAACCTATACCGAGAATTTGAGCAAATTTATTTTTTTGGACTTATTGAGGATGGTGGATCATTTCTACAATACTGTACAACTTTAATCTTATATCTTATCCTCCTCTTCAATCTCCAGCCTAAAAGCCAGTCAGGTGGTTGGTCTGTTCTGTTACACACTGTTGGTAAGCACTGGGTAAATACCTTGACCATTTGTTAAACTAAGATACCATGACCACATTTTATGTTTCATTTACCATCCAAAGACCTGTGGATTACAGTTTGTGTCTACACTAAAGATTACAGTTAGTTTGTATTTGCAGTACCAGGGCAATGAAGATTACAGTCAGTTTTTTCTACTCTTGAATGATAGTCAGTGTGTTTACTCTTAAGATTATTTTCTTTTACACCTCATATACAATCAGCTTATTTCACTGTTTATGGCTGTACAGATAACAGGGCACTTGGATCTGTGAAAGCTGTTAAGATTATCTTCACAGTGTACATTAATTGGGCTAAATTTTACAAGATGGTGAAATGTTCAGTAAACAAATAACACATACTACTGTATATAGGAGTTATGATGAGACCAATCTTTTTAACTTGCTGCCATGTGCTGTACTTGTTGAATGTCAAGAGGTCTCAATATTAATCTGTTACTTGTAACCCATATCTAATTCATTGTGAGGAGTATTTCTAGAAGTTTTTATCTCATAGATGTTGCCTAACGATCATAGATGTCCTCAGTTATTTGTTTGATTAACTGACTTAAGTAATTTCATGTCTTGTCATCAACCACAGTAAGCAATAATTTAATAACCATAAAGAATAAATTGAGGATATTTATGTAACAATTACCCAGATGATGCAAAAATTGTTCCTTCCACTGATGGGGATAGTGAGTGTGCTGTGCTGCAGACTGGCGAGAGTAAGAGTGGGCTGGTCACCTCCACGCTGGAAGAGGCTGAGTTCTACGCCCGCCACGGCTTTGATGACATCCTTTATGGCTATCCCCTCATTCCCCACCACATGCCTCGTGTTATTGCACTAACTCGGTGAGCTCACCTCTTGTACTGCCCTGTGTTGCTGCTTCAGATAGGTCGTGTAAATTAAAATTGTTGGCTCTCAGTAACTGCTGTGCCCTCAAAAAACTTGAATTTAATTTCTTGTTCATGTACAGTACTTATACAGTACTTGCTTTTTGATTGGGTTTGGAGTTCAGTTATTAAATACAAATTGACAGGTGTTAGAACTTTAGGAGTAAACTGTGTTTTATTCACTAGTTTAATACAAAGATAACACATTAGACAAAAGTCTAAGAACTTTTTTATTGTACTGTATTGAACTACTGTACCTGTATGCAAGTTTGAATGACTCCAAACCAGATGAGAAAAGCCTCCTCTTTTCTCTCTTCCTCTTCTTTTCTCTCCTTCTTTCTCTTATACAATATTTGCCTGTTCTATCTCAGGCAACTGAAGAAGTTCCATGTAATGGTTGACTCACAGCTGGCAGTAGACACACTAAAGGACACACCCACACCTGGCAAGCCCTGGTCAGTCTTCCTCAAGGTTGACTGTGGCAATAAACGAGGTATGTCAGGCCCACTGTAACTGCTGGAATGGACCCCAACCTCACCATTATAATTAAGGGACTAGTTATAATGGGGTGAAATCCCTATTAGTTTAGATTGGGGCCACTGAGAACTGGGACCTATTTATTGATGCTGTAGATCAAGGTGACTAGCTAATTTACGTTTAGTTTATAGCCTCACATCAGTCCAAGGAGATTTCTGTTTTGTACCTTTCAAATCTGTAGGTTGCAGCCTAAATTAGCCTCCAACATCAATGACTGGCATTAATCAAACAATTAGTACCACTCCTATTGCAACCCTGGCCTTTAGAAATATCTTGATAGCTATACAGTTATTGATGTTACAGCACATTGTGCAATGTAGCTCTCCTATCCATCGTGGCTTCATAAACAGAACTAGGCTGTGCTTAAATGAGGTTAGAAGAAGCCCTATTAAAGATGTAAATTAGGGGACTGGCTGGAATTGTCCTCATGGGGTAATGGGTCAACATATAATAATTCACTACAGGTATTATTCTGAGTTTCGAAGTGCTTCACACTGGAGTTTAGGAGAACTCTTCAAGGGGCTTGTAATGTGGTTGGACAAGGTCGGATTTTTAAGGAGGAAACTAAGGTTGTGATCAGTTTATTCATTAACCATATGTTTGAACCTATGCCACAAGACTGAGTTACACCCTCCCAAACATTATACAGTGTCTGGTGAGTGCATAACCCTTAAGTGCTCTCTCCCCAGGCAGTGATTGTAACCCAAAGGAAAAACAATGTTAGATTAGTCTACACACTGACTTTTTCTGTGTTCTATTGACCTCATTAACTTTTACAGATTGTGTTTTTATTCCTCCTTGACTAAAGTACCAGATTTCAGAAGGGCAAACTTTGACAGTTTAAAGAGGCAGCTGAGAGAGGGGGTGTCGTGCTTGGCCGTGAACCTGACAGATGACACCGACCTGATAACGAGATCTGAGATTGCCGAGTTCCACGACAATTTAAATAGCGAGTTACTTAATGCACAAAGGCAGAACATACCATACAAAAAACTCAGATCAGACAACAACGACCCTAAATGGATAAATAATTATTTAAAGAACATCATTGGCCAAAGGAAGGCTATAGGTAGAAGGATAAATCGTGGCGAAATTCACCTCCGGGACTATTATAGGGTATTGGCGAGTAGGGTTAAAACCGAGATAAGGAAAGCAAGAGGAATAATGAGGTAAGGATAGCAAGGAGGCGAAGACAAACCCCAAAGGATTCTACCAAATGTATCAAACTAAAACACGAGAAAAGATTGGACCAATACGGTCAGACTCCGGCGAGCTCACTGATAACGACGGAGAAATGAGCAATAATTTGAATAAATATTTTTCAACAGTTTTCACCTCCGAAAATTTAAACATGATACCCGAGGCACCGACTCTATTCAGAGATAGTGAAGAAAACAAATTAAGTGAGATAGTAGTGACTAGTAACGATGTTAGTAAGCAAATAGACAAACTAAAGCCTAATAAGTCACCTGGTCCCGATGAGATATTTGCCAGAGTATTAAAGGAATGTAAGGAAGAGCTTAGTATGCCCTTAGCAAAGTTGTTTAACATGTCCTTAAAAACAGGTGTAGTACCAGAATCCTGGAGGATAGCGAATGTAATACCGATTTTCAAGAAGGGGGATAGATCACTATCTTCTAACTACCGCCCAATCAGTCTAACATCAATAGTAGGCAAATTACTGGAAGCAATCATTTCAAACTCTATTCGAAATCACCTGGAGAAGCACCGATTGATCAATGATTCCCAGCATGGCTTCACAAGCGGACGTTCTTGCCTAACTAATCTATTAACATTCTTTTCATCAGTTTTTGAATCAGTGGACGAGGGCACAATTATGATGTGGTATATCTCGACTTTAGCAAAGCCTTCGACAGAGTCCCCCACGAAAGACTAATTAGAAAGGTAGAAGCTCATGGCATCAAAGGTGGCATCCTTAAATGGATTAGGGCGTGGTTACAGGACAGAAAACAGCGAGTGAGCATTAACGGCACTAAGTCCCATTGGAGCAACGTCACAAGTGGAGTTCCCCAAGGCTCAGTACTTGGACCATTATTGTTTATTATATACATAAACGACATAGATATCGGCATAGACAGCAACATAAGTAAATTTGCTGATGATACTAAAATAGGACGTGTTATCAAATCTGACGAGGACTCGGCAAAACTACAGGAGGATCTAAACAAATTTTTCAAATGGTCTGAAAAATGGCAGATGACATTCAACATCGACAAATGTAAAGTACTCAGTATAGGAAATGTAAACAGGGAAACCAGATACCAGATGAACAACGATGCCATAGAGAAATCCGACTGCGAGAGAGATTTAGGAGTAATGATAAGTAGGAACCTTAAGCCAAGTAAACAATGTGTTTTTGCTCGTAACAAGGCTAATAAAGTACTTGGGTTCATACAAAGGAGTGTTAGTTACAAGACTAGCGAGGTCATCCTAAAACTGTATCTTGCTCTTGTGAGACCACACCTGGATTATGCAGTTCAGTTCTGGTCACCGTATTACAGAATGGATATAGAATCCTTGGAAAGAATTCAGAGGAGAATGACAAGACTAATCCCGGGCATTAGGAACCTTGAGTATAGAGACAGGTTAAAGCATCTTAATCTGCACTCCCTTGAGAGACGTAGAGCGAGGGGCGACCTGATAGAGGTGTATAAGTGGAAGGCAGGGCTAAACAAAGGGGACATTACAAAGGTACTCAAATTATCCAACCAGGAGCGAACTCGTAACAATGGTTTTAAATTGGACAAATTTAGATTTAGGCGTGAAATAGGTAAACACTGGTTTGGAAACATAGTGGTGGATGAATGGAACAAGTTACCAAATATCATCATTAACTCGAATACGCTGAATTGCTTCAAACATAGGTTGGATGCTCATATGAGCAATAGGGGTTGGGTGTAAACGGGACTGCCCAGTATGGGCCAATAGGCCCGCTGCAGTTTCCTCCATTCTTATGTTCTTATGTTCTTATTGAAGTTGTAGTCACTGAAATGGAATTGGAGTTTTATAAGATTAATTTTATATTTCTTACTGTAGCTTTTAGTTATTTCTACTTACTTGATACCGTTCACAGCAACACTGAAGTTTAATTTTGCCACCTTCCTTGCATAATATCTAGCTTACTGTAGATACATGAGTCTCAGAAAGCACCACAGGCCCCTAGCATTTATAGTATATGCTTCAGCCCAAGTGATGTTTATATACTTAGTCATAACACCTTGAAGTGATCAGTTGTATAACTCCTTGAAGTGATCAGTTGTGGACAAATCAATATAGTTTTACCATTTCAGCTGGAGTGTGGTGGGAGGATGAAGCAGGGGTGGACATGGCATTACAACTCCACAACGCTCCTAATATCACCTTTGTTGGTGTCTATGTCCACTGTGGCAATACCTATGGTGCCAGTGAGCCCAAAGAAGTCCTGCAGATCCAAGAAGACACTTTAGGTGAGGATTGTTACTGGTTGAAGCACAATTTCTGGATCACCTGAAGAATCACCACCCCAGTTATTTCACTTAAACATTAACCACCCTAATGCAAAGCTAACCTACCATCACCCCCCTTTCCAAATACTGCAATGTTAGTGGTTAATCTTCGGTTGAAATTAGCACGGGTGGAGATTCTTCAGGTGATCCCAATTTCTTAACATACAGTATACAGGGGAACACTGCTTAGCATAACTCTGTACCAAGAATTAAAAACAATTCCGCATTTTCTCTTTTTCAAGATAGAAATAACAAGCAGTAACTCAAGTTACATGAGCATAAGCATTCTTATCTGTTCTCTCATTGTTCTTGTTCATACAAGCTACAGTACAGGTATATGAGAGCATCCAGTCACAATGTTCTCTATAGAGTGAGTCTTCTAAGAGTCATTATACATGCATCATACACGCCACATTAGTTTTTGAGTGGGTATAGTTTGTGTGCTCTCACTGAACTGCTTCTCATTCTTGTGAAACTACAGTTCTAAAGTATTTAACATGTGTTACAGTATCAATGAGTGTGAGAAAAAGCAAAAAGCATAATTACCTTAGAAGTGAAAGTTAAAGTTTTAAATGAATAGTCATTGGTGTCATGGCAGTAGAACGTGGGTTTGACCTCATAAAATTTCCAGTGAGAACAAATATGACGAATAAAGACAAAATAACGTTCAATGGGTGATATGGCCATTATACAGAACAGGGTGACCACAAATGTTATTACTGTAAAAAAACTATAAGAGGGAATTTATGTAAATTTTTTGCTTCTTACTGAAGAAATAAAAAATTTTATGTTTTTCTGTGCACCTCAACATGTGTGCTGTTAGTGGACTGTAACACATCCAACCAGTACTCCACTTCAGTCCATATGTTGGCCAACCTACCTTCATTACTCTTTTGATGCTGTGGGTTATCCTTTTATTGTACCAGGTGTTTCAATGTCAGCAATGGGGGTCTGAAAAACATAATAACCCTTAACATACTCCCACAAGGAAAATATTGAGTGGTTATAATTCTTCAAAGATACACACCTACTGTGATATTCTGCTCAGCAAAGAAAACTAAGCTTATCACCCTGTCGTGCATGAGTCCATACCAAACATTAAGTTTTGGGCTATTACGAATGTGTTCACAAAACCCCCGTGACTTTTCAGCTAACCATATTTGCACATTATAGCAGTTAACTCGTCCAGACACCTGAAAAGTGACTTTATCAATTGAGTTCAGCATGGAATGTGCAAATTTATAGTGCCGAGGCTTGTCATTAGATTGTAAAGGCACAATCTCTTGTGTCTGAAATCATGTAGCGAGTCCAGGAAATTAGTATGAGTACCCCAGGAGCACATCTTCCCCATTAAGTGAGGTCCTCCTGTATAATTACGCACTCTCTTTAATTTTACCCAAGTTCACTGTAATACACGTGAAATTAATTAAAGAAAACACAAAGACAAGTACTCTGCTGATAACATACCTTCCAGAGCGTTTGCTGAAGTTTGTCGATCGCCTGAAGCAGCGAGGTGTGACATGTACCACAGTGGGTACTGGATCCACACCCTCCTGTAGACAACCAAGTGATAACATGAAGAACCTAACAGAGATACATCCTGGCAATTATACCTTCCTTGGTGAGTCCTGACTTAATACAGCTCTACTCTACTGGCTGATTGTTTGTAGCTCTGGAGATCAGGTGTATGTAGGTCCCAGAAAATGGAGTTAGGTAAGCTGTCATAATGTCAGGGTTGGGCTGGGATTCTTTTGACTGGGCCTTTATAAACAGATTTAATTTATTGTGTAAATCACCTGAATATTTCTTCACATATTTTGTGGATAAATTTCTAATATATGGTGAGTACTTTATTTTGAGAGCTGCGATGAAATTTGAACTTTTAAATGAAATAAAAATAAAAATGTACTACAACACAAGTACTATGGTTAAGTATCTGTCAACTGAAAATCTACTTCGTGAAATAATCTGTTTTACGAAAGATTTGAGTATTTTGAATATAAAACTAAAGACTATGGATTAAAGGAAAACTATTTAATTTTCTACATATTACTGTATACTTTACATGATTAAAAGAAGAGAAATTGGTCAACAAAGCAACTGGCTCAGTGACTGTGTGGTGGTGGTGTGAGTGACGAGTCTACTGTACTGTACTTGTCTTCATGTGAGTTTGAGAAAGTTATATTTACTGTGCTGTTTATGGTGATCAGTAGGAGAATGATGACACATTGAAAGTCTATTAGTCGACTTAATAACATTGTGAGTGTTAAATAATAATGAAGAAAGTTACTGTTCAGGTATTTTCAGAAATTAATAATATAACTAAAGTGACACCAGTACTAGGGTTTACTACATGCTTCCCTTGGACATATGTTTGTGTGTCCACTTTATGGAAGCCTCTTGGTCCTAATATTATTTGAGTGATACTTTATTGTAATAGCATCGAGTCAGAATGATAAGGTGATCTGGATAAATGTTGGAGTTTGAGCAGTAGGGCAGTAGCTAAAACCAGATCATGACTATCCCTGTGATGCCAGAACAGATGTGCAGCAGTGGAGTCTTGGGTCATGCAGCCAGGAGGACATCGCCTGCTGTGTTGCCACCCGTGTCATTGGTCACTACCCACACAGGAATCAGGTACTATTACTACACTTAAATTGTATGTGCATTAAGTTTTCTTGTTGTCAAAGATCTTATGTCTGAGAATTATAGCATACTGAATCACTAATATAGTAAAATATCTCTTAGTTTTTTGACCAGTACTTTGTTCACTGGATAATTTGCATCAATTTCTCTCCTGTATCCCCATCAAGGAGGGGTTTGTACATGCACTGTATACTGTATACGGTACTTTCACACTATATGTACAGTACAGTATACATAATTGTAATAACTTCTTATTTCTTAACACTGCTTTAGCAATATTCTTGGCTAATGGGGAGATTACTGTACAGTAGTACCCCGCTTAACGCGGTCAATAAAACCCACAGGGTACCGTGTTAAGTGAAAACCGCGCTAAGTGAACAACAGAACATATGGGATTAATTCCAATAGAAACTGGCCCGATCCCCAAACTCCACTTTTTCCGACACAATACCTATGTTCTAGTAAAAATAACATCTTAATTTTATGATGGTACATGCACACAATTAATACTTAAGAGAAATAGAGAAATACAGTCGCCAAGTTAATGTCCATTCAAATAATGGACTCAACTCCCTCCCCCTCTTCTCACACTACACTGCTCGCTCTTCCCTCTCTGAGAAATTTTGGGGGGGAAACCACTAAATTTTAATAAATAATACCTCAAACTAAAGTTAGGATAATACAATTGACATTGCTGGATTCCTTGTAAGACCAGGAATATTTTGAATATAAATGTCATATATTTTGCACAAAAGATAACATATTTACTGAGAGTAAACATTATATCAAAAATTTGTATGTCTAATGCAAAATCTATGATGTTTATATTCAAAATGATCACCAAATTGTAAGAATTCCAGCAATGTAAATTATATTCTGGCCGGGTAATTTGTATGAATTTTATGAGCTAAAACAAATATCTTCAGTTAATAATAAAAAAAAATATTCTTCACACAGTAACAGATGGTCGGTCGGTCCCTTCCTCCCCCCCACCCCCCACCAACCCTCCCTACCAGATGTGTGGGAAAACCAGAATATTTAACATTTTGTATTAAATAATACCTCAAACTAAAGTTAGGATAATATAATTGACATTGCTGGATTCCTTGTACGACCAGGAATATTTTGAATACAAATGTCATATATTTTGCACAAAAAATAACATATTTACTCAGAGTAAACATTATATCTAAAATTTGTATGTCTTATGCAAAATCTATGATGTTTATATTCAAAATGATCATCATATTGTAAGAATTCCAGCAATGTAAATTATATTCTGGCCGGGTAATTTGTATGAATTTTATGAGCTAAAACAGGCAGTCAGGCAGGGTGGCGGGTGGGGCGAATCTAAAAATAGCTCTCCAGCCGGACACTCACCGCGTATACGTGGAAAAAACCCGCGTTAAGTGAAAGTTAGGCTCTGGCGAGGCACCACGTATACGGTAAAACGCGCTAAGCGAAACCGCGTTAAGCGGGGTAATACTGTACTTGTATATATATTCTTTAATATAGTTGTGAACTGTGTGAAAAAACACCGTTTGATGTATATTTCCCCTCCGTGGAACATAAAACCCATCAGTACTGTACTAGGGTTCTAACATTCAGTACTATACTTGTTTTTTTACTAAAATGGATTTCCAGGAACTAAGCCCCTTCATATATAAAAGGATACCTGTCCTATACATTCACCAAAATATTGTTTCTAAATATTTCCTTTTGAATTATGGTGCCTCTTATACACCAGCAAAATATGACAATCCTGTATTGAAATAGAAAACAATGAATTATTAATATACAAGTGTTTATAATAAGCAAACAATTGATTTCAGATGCTGATAGACTGTGGGTTCGTAGGTCTCACCAAGCAAGGCTATGGTCATATGGACACAGGCTACGGTGTCTTCCGTGGCCACCCTAACCTTAAGTAAGTCACCCTGGCCTTCTTCTATGGCCACCCTAACCTTAAATAAGTCTTTCTGGCCTTCCATGGCCACCCTAACCTTAAATCACTTTGGCCTTCTTCTGTGGCCACCCTAACCTTAAGTAAATCACCCTGGCCTAACTCTTTGCTGTACAGTGAGTTCTGCTATAACGCGTGTTTTGACAACGCGAATTGGCTCTAACGCAATTGATGAATTGAGGAACAATATTTGTAAAACGCGAACTCGTTTGCTGTAACGCGATTCCACGTTGTTATGTTGTTATGGCTTGGCGCGGGGTTATGCAGTGTTTACAGTTCACGTTCGACATCACATGTTCAATTGAGTTATGTGTTTTGTTTGTGAAGAATTGCAGAAATAATTTATGTAATATTTATGTATACAGCAAACCACTCACAGGTCCTACCACTAATTATTTTATACTGAAACTTACGTTTGGGAAGCTGGATTAAAATGAAGATTACCGTTATATTAAAATAATAAAAATGTATTATAAATCTGTCTAACATACTGTAAAAGAAAAATATACCCCGGTAATAAACACAGCTGCTATCATCATCCCCCCCCCCCCCATTTGCCAGTGACGAGACAAGAAAGGGAAAGTGACCTTGACTAAGACCACCTGTGGCTATTTTTAGCCGTCCTTGTGTTCAGAGGTGGTCAGTAATGCATACAGTATCTGTATATTTACTGATCATAATACTTATCTCCTATAAACAATTCATTTAAAATTTATTTTTTTACAAAGAATATTCAGTAAATGACTGCGTTAATTCTTGAAACTACCGACAGTAGTAAATTTAGGGTATAAATGATGAATAGAAGTCACGTCATGGATTCGGAGTTTGGTCCTTAATGATCACCATAAATGTCTGGTCAACTTCACCTACCAGGTATAATGGTAGCCTCCCTTTTTCGCAAAACAAGTATAAAAATTAAAGAAAATACTTGCAGTATACAGTCAACCCTCACTTTACGCGGTTAATGTAACCCACAGGGTACCGCGGAAAGTGAGAAACGCGTAAAGTGAATAACATAACATATGGGATTAAATGAAATAGAGACCAGCTGACCCCCAAACTCCACTTTTTCCAGCACAATACCTATGTTCTAGTAAAAATAACATCTTAATTTTATGATGGTACATGCACACAATTAATACTTAAGAGAAATAGAGAAATACAGTCGCCAAGTTAATGTCCATTTAAATAATGGACTCAACTCCCTCCTCCTCTTCTCACACTACACTCGCTGGCTCTTCCCTCTCTGAGAAATTTTTGGGGGAAAACCAGGTATAGTAATAAATAATACCTCAAACTAAAGTTAGGATAATATAATTGACATTGCTGGATTCCTTGTAAGACCAGGAATATTTTGAATATAAATGTCATATATTTTGCACAAAAGATAACATATTTACTCAGAGTAAATATTATATCTAAAATTTGTATGTCTAATGCAAAATATATGATGTTTATATTCAAAATGATCATCAAATTGTAAGAATTCCAGCAATGTAAATTATATTCTGGCCAGGTAATTTGTATGAATTTTATGAGCTAAAACAAATATCTTCAGTTAATAAAAAAAAAGTATTCTTCACACTGTGACCAAGTGCCAGGTGGTCGGTCGCCGGTCCCTCCCACCCCCCACCAACCCTCCCTACCAGATGAATGTGTGGGAATACCAGACTGTTTACCTTTTTAGTAATAAATAATAAATCAGACTAAAGTTAGGATAATATAATTGACATTGCTGGATTCTTTGTAAGACCAGGAATATTTTGAATATAAATGTCATATATTTTGCACAAAAGATAACATATTTACTCAGAGTAAGCATTATATCTAAAATTTGTATGTCTAATGCAAAATCTATGATGTTTATATTCAAAATGATCATCAAATTGTAAGAATTCCAGCAATGTAAATTATATTCTGGCCGGATAATTTGTATGAATTTTATGAGCTAAATAAAAAAATATACTTCACCCGTGAGCATCCTGGGTTCTGGCAGGGCACTGTGTAAACGTGGAAACGCGGAATGTGGGACCGCGTAAAGTGAGGGTTGACTGTATATTTAATTAATTTTTTTTGTCTCGGATCTTGTTGATATGACGGGCTGACCGGTCAACACTGATTTGAGACACAGTACAGTACACAGATTAAGTAGTTATGTCTCGTGCCTTACGCAGTGGTGTTCCTAACACCGGGATGACTCAGACGGATGATAGCTCTACAGAGATGGATGACCAGTCGGAGAGAGACGCTCCAGCCTCTCCCACCACATCTCGAAGTCCTTCACCTTGATCTTCAGCCTTGTCTCTAGAGGTAATTGCTTTAATGAAGTTTATGAGGGAGGAAAGGCGTGAGGACAAAGCTAGAAGACTTGTGGATGACGAAAAAAGGAGATTGGAAGATAGTGAACGGTTTGAAGATTTGATATCTCGCCTCACTGCTAACCAAGCCCCCAGCTCTCCCACCGCTTCGGTACCGACTGATTCAGGTACCTCGTCAACGCCTGTTTTACGCCCTCCAGCCCTACCCAAAGCTGCTGCCCAACCCCCACCCATCTTGAATCCTGATGTGACTTTCCAGACTTTTCGCGAATGGCGGCGACGGTGGACTGATGATGCTACAATGGTGGATCTCCAGAGCTTGCCACAGCCTAAACAACTCATTCAGCTACGTATGTGCCTGTCTTTGGAAACGCAGCGTGTCTTGGAACATACGTTGCAGGTGCCCCCGACTTCTTCGTTGTCTGTAGAGGAGGCACTGGAGGTTCTACAACGGCACATCAAAGGTCAGCGGAATGAAGCTCTACACAGGAGGGAATTGTTTAGCTGTAGACAGATGGAGGGCGAGACTTTTAACGCTTTCTATGTACGACTCAAGAGAGCCTCGGAAGAGGTAGACATATGTCCCGGTAATCACCAGCAGTGTGAGGAGACCCAGTTGAAGCAGGTGATCCTGATGGGTGTTAAGGACGAGGAGCTTGTCCAACGCCTCACCTCCCTTGACTTTTCCTCTTCCCTTAAGGATGTGTTGACAATATGTCGCTCCTATGAGGCTGCCAGGTGTGCCACCTCTGCCTTCCGAGCTCCCCCTACAGCTTTACGTTTTATGTCTCAGTACAAGAAGGACAAGAAGTCTACCCCAACGCCGATGCCCATGCCCGGCTCCTTTTGTAAAAACTGTGGTAAACAGCACGGAACACAGGTGTGTCCAGCTGCTGAGTCTACGTGCAACAGTTGTGAGAGTAAGGGCCACTGGTCACTTACAGTACAGTGCCCAGCCAAACGCGTCCAGTGCAATGTGTGCGGTCGTCTGGGCCACTATGACAAGTGTTGCCCTTCCAACAAACCCAAGGGACAGCGTTTTTGTGGAAGCAGCAGTTCCCTTCCACCAGTGAGGGCCGCCCACAGTCGTCAAATCAGAGGCATGACGACCCTGGACAACGCTCAAGCCATATTAGGAAGGTGTACTCCCCTCGCGTCCCAGGACCAAAGTTCCTCAGCACATTAGCGTCATCGTGACCTACGGCAGTGTGTCATCCCGCCTCGAGATGCTGCCCGACACCGGCGCTGATGCTACAATCATCGGTCCCCAGCATTTGCAATGTTTGGGGCTCTCTCCGAGTGATCTAGGACGGCCTCCCAAGGATCTCCGCTTCATGGCAGATAGTTCGCAGATGGCCCCAGCCCAAGGTTCACTCCAAGCACAGGTCACCTTTGGCAACAGGTCGTGTCTAGCCTGAATTGATGTGCATAATGGTGTCCCGACTCCTTTGCTGTCCTACAGACATTGCCAAGAGTTGGCCATCATCTCCCAGGACTTCCCAAAACCTATTCTCGAGGTAAAACACTCCAACAGAGTGCACGAAGGGAGCAGCAACCACTCTGCTGTCGCCCTACCCCTATCTCTTGCCTGTGACACCTCTCCTTCGGTAGTTGTCCATGCTGCCTCACGTCCCCACATCTTGGCTCGCCTCCATGACAGTCACCGCCGAGCCGAGGCCACCAAACGGCGTGCAAGACAGACTGTGTTCTGGCCTGGCATCGACTCCGACATCTCCAATGTTGTCCATGCGTGTGAGCCCTGCCAAGTCCTACAACCCAGCCAGCAGCAGGAACCCTTCATGAGTGACGACAACCCCACCCGCCCCTTTGAGTCTGTGTTGGCTGACTTTTTCTGTGTGTTAGGAAAGTCCTTCCTTGTTATCATCGACCGTCTCTCTGGTTGGCCGGTTGTCATTAAGTGCGGCAATGATACAACGTCTGCCGCCACCATCAGCAAGTTCCGCCACTACTTCCGTGACGTGGGCGTTTCTGTGAGCCTACGAACCGACAGAGGGCCCCAGTTCACAAGCCGGGACTTTGCTGTGTTCCTTGACCGATGGGGAGTCCGGCATGTGTTGTCATCGCCCCATTACCCGCAGTCCAACAGCCACGCTGAGGCTGCTGTCAAATCCCTGAAGCACCTAGTCCTCAAAGTGGCCCCTTCTGGGAATATTGACTGCGAGGCCTTCGACCGGGGTCTCCTTGAACTCCGCAACACACCCAATTACACCGGACGCTCCCCTGCCCAGGCTAAGACAGAGGATTGTGATCACCGAGCTGCCGAATGTGTTCATGATGTCGTCGCCCGCTACAACGACCATGCCCGTGCTCCTCCCAAGTTGAGTGTCGGCACCCAAGTCCGTGTTCAGAACCCGACCTCCCTACCTTGGGACAAAGTACGCATGGTCATGGGTCTCGGTAGGTCACGTGACTACCAGGTGCTGTTACCCAGTGGTCGGGTGTGGTGGAGGAACCACCGTTTTCTCCAGCCCGTAACAATTCCTTCTGCTGACCCCGCCACCAGTGTTGAGTCCCATATCCTCCCCAGTGATCAAGTCCCTCGACACTCAGAACGGATCCAAAAGGTCCGCTCAAGACTTTGCTATGAGCGTAGAGGGGGGGGGTGTATGTATATTATGTATGTTGTATGTATACTATGTATTTACTCCATTTATATACATTACTTATTTAGCTAGCAGCGTGTGGCAATGTATTTTTCATGTCACCACACGCTTAGATAATGTGCCTGGCGACATCTGGAAGCTGCTAATGTACCACTTGCCACATGTCGCTTGAGAGGTCAGATGACCCATAGGGAGAGGTCAGTTGACCCATAGAGAGAGTAGGGAGTACCGGCTCTTGTGTTGTACCTCCGTATAGATCCAGCAAATAGAACCTACAAAAACTCTACAGGTGTTTGTGTTCGCTCCTGTAGTTAGAACTGAGTACCCAGAACATGTACAGTATATACCAACAGACCCCCAAAAAGGGAATTTCAATTAATTAATCCAGGTATATAATGATGGTGGCAACAGCTGATCAGTACACAATACCAAATAGAGCAGCAATGGTTAATGATTCCTCGAGTCTTCCCTGTTTTCCGGGAGGATTTTTTATTAATGAGAAGGTTTTACAAACTTTAGTTTTAATGCTGGATTATTGACCATACACCTGTACTATGACAATACTAGAGGGTCATCTATTTATTTGGGAACCCTAAGTGATTACTATATTTTAGGACATGCAATAGACACAAACTTGAAAATCAATCTCGTCATTGCAAAGAACATTTTTCCTACTGATTTTTAGGTTCCTGTTTATTGCACATCCTAAAACATTGTAGAATCATTTAGGGTTCTTGAAGAAATAAGTTATCCCTGCACTGTGTTATCACCATGCATCTCTCTCTCTTATAAAACAGATTATGTGCGATGACTCAAGACATTGGTTTCGTAGAGCCTCTGGAGGGGCAGCTGGACTATGAGCAATACCCCATTGGCTCTCTGCTCTACATCCTTCCCTGGCATGTATGTTATCTGCTGGCTTGGAGCCGTCTCGTGCTAGTTAAGATACACCTCCTCTTGTAGCATTTCTACTCACTTTATACGAGCTTGGCCCAGAATCCACTCCCCCTTTCTACGCTAAAAAGTAGTTGATTGGTCCATAAAAGTGTTCGTTTACCTCTGCATTTATCATACTAATATGGTCACAATTTATTATGAGACCTGTTCTTCTCAATAATAATTGTGCTATACGTTTGGTGTTATCTGTTTGTTTACTTTCTGTCTGCTACAAAAGAAAGAAATAATAGATAGGCTTCATCCGAACGCAACTTTTGTCATTGACTTCGACCGTTCTTTATACATATTTTAACATTTTTCATATCCTCCTTGATGTGCTAGTGCCTGAAAATCATTTGCATTTTTATGTTCGTAATTTTTAACATTATTAATGAGAAGAAGAGGTCTAATTATAAATAGCGAACACATTAGTATGAATAAATAGACAGCGAAACGAACATTTGATATGAACCAATCGGCTCGCTTATACAAATGAGGGCATGGCTTCCGGGGCAAGCTAGTGTAAAATGAGTACAGCTATCTTATCTTTTTCTAATTATGATACTGTACATTTATCTTCGTACACTATTTCTTTTTCCCTGATAACATATGTTGGTAAAGTTGTCATAGAAAGAACATAATATTGCTTGACTTTTTTGTAAATATCACATGATCATAGTGACAGTCAGCATGAAGTGAAGATAATGAATTTAGTGTCACTTTGCAATCGTAATCAAGAACACAAAATCTTTCTTGATTTTTAGAAAGTATTGTTTAGTGTAGAATCTGAGGGTTAGCCAGGAGTGTTTCAAGACCCTGGCTGTTGAGGCACCTTACACAGTACTGTACATCAGAACAACACCTTTTAATTGTGGCTATGGCTTACCTTTTGGTGATTTTATTTGTGACTCTACCTCAAAAAAAGTTAGTTGAATATGGTGAAACATGGCGAGTGATTTGGGTATTTTGGGCTGATAAGGAAATACTGTTTCTTAATATTTGACAACAGGAAGTTAGAAATTAAAATCTGTACTGTGCAATTTAATTAGTGCCAGGCCAGGGATGTGCTTCCTAAGTAACACAGGATTTTTGTCTTTCATATGTATTATACGTATATTGTAAAATTTTCATGTCGTATCTTCTGTGAGATAAAGCTTTTCCAGTTTCAACATTTAATTATCTTTTCCCCAGTAAAATAGACACTTATCAATCATTAAAAGAAGAAGCTTTTTTGTGATTCTTATTTATAATTACAGGTTGTACCTCTCTAGTCCGGCATTCTGTGGTCCGGAACGATTTTATTTTGTCCAATAGGTAGATAGGCAGTTTTTTTTTTTTTATTATTATTATTATTATTATTACAGGAGTATTAAATTTTTGCCCCTCAGGCCCCAATGTGGGTCAGTGACCTATGCCCGGGTGGGCTAATCCCCTTAAAAAAAAAAAAGCCGCGGGAAATTAAGGTTTGTTTACATCCGGCAGTTCGGCTGCTCTCTCTCTCTCTGCTTGTCTATACAGAGTACAACATTTAACCCTTCAATATATATGAGCAGTAAATAAGTGTTGCTTTCATATTCTTATGTAGAGTAATGACGATATATTTTCACATGTGCGCACTTACATACGAGCAGTCTCACTTTTTTTTTTACCATTAATGGTTAGCTACTTATATTGTTCCATTTATTAACATTAAATAACATTACAGGTACTTCAAGCAACCATATTCATTTTTTACATTAATTTTACTACAGCTAAACTCAGGGTCTTATTTTCTTCAGTTTTATATGTAGAACCAATCAGTCACTGGTTTCGTAAGCTTTAACATAAACAATGCCGGCAGCCGTCTCGTCTCCTCTAATATTCCACGTATTATTAATAAATTGTATTGTTAATTTTGCACACACGTACATTAATTCAATAAAAACAAATTCAGAAACATTAATTAAAATATATATGAACAGTAAATAAGTGTTGCTTTCATATTCTTATGTAAAGTAATGACGATATGTTTTCACGTGTGCGCATGCTCACTTACATACGCGCGATCTCTCTTTTCTTTACCATTATCGTTAGCTACTTCTATTGTTCCATTTATTAACATTAAATAACATTACTTAAAACAACCATATTAATTTTACTACAGCTACAACCAAGGTCTTATTTTCTTCAGTTTTATATGTAGAACCAGTCAGTCACTGGTTTTGTAATCAACGAAAACAATGCTGTGTCATTTCCTCGTGTGTTTTAATATTCTACGTATTATTAATGAATTGTATTGCTCATTTTGCACACATAAACATTAATTCAATAAAAAAGACATTCAGTAATAAACAATAATGAATCTTTTGTACATAAGAGAAATGACGCTGTTTACACGATTATGCACGTCGTCTGCACGTTGGCGGGCCGTTCAAACCCGTCGAAATTCAAGTTTCCGCCGTCAAAATTTTTATTTATTTATTTTTTTGTGTGTTCCAATAAAATACGTTAAGAATTAAAAACTCGCCAAATTTGAGAAGCTACTATACGACATTTAACCCTTCAATATGTCTTCAAAGAGACCATGACGAAGAGAAAGTGGTGCTAGTGCTTCCAGGCATAAGCACAAGTCACTATCTATCCAGGAAAAGGGTGAATTTCCATAGTCCGGCAATTTCCATGGTCCGGCACCGGTCAGGTCCCGAGGTTGCCGGACTAGAGAGGTACAACCTGTATTGCTTCAGTACTTCATTTTAGAGTAAACTTGAAATATTCAGATTCAGTACAAGGAAATAAAGACTTCTGAAGACATATATAAATTACAGTAATCATTAATAGTGTTACATTGTTGGAATAATTCAATAATATGATGGAGTCTTTAGTAGAGCTCATTTGGTAATGTGAAGTGTACTCCTCCTCCCTACAGTCGTGTGCTACAGCTGCCTTGTACCCCGTATATCATGTGGTGGAGGGCGATACTGTGCTGGCTGAGTGGCGACCTACACGTGGCTGGTGAACATGTGTACGTTACTCACCTACATCTTAAGATCGACATATGTTGGTGACAAAGGCCTCGGAACAATGTATGGCTGGTGAAAACTTGGTGATGTTGAATGTTTCTCAGGTTCACTTGTGATTTTAGTGGAAATTATGTGGTTAATGATATGTATGACTAAATATTTTTATTTCATCATATAATCCTAATTAAGAAATACATGAACATTTTTTTAATGCAGTACTTAGGTGGTGACACAGACAAGACCCAAACCATTCATTTGCTTGACCTTAATAAACACACGGCTAAATATGAGGCAGCCACATTTAGCAGCAAGTTCTAACATAACCTAATGCAACCAACATCATGATAGTTATTTATTTAGCCACAGATGATGCAGCTTATTCCTTTATTTAAAGGTGATGACTTTAAAAGAAATCTCTTGACATAAGTGTATTTTTCAAGTTTTATTTCTTTATAATTACCAGTATACCATATTCACTGAGTGCATGCTAAAGCTTTTCACCTCTGTATCAGACAATGGGTTTCTTCTCTTTCTCTTTTCTCTGTAATGGCATCCAGTCCATCAACTCACCCCACCTCCCTACTCTTTTCAACCCGTCACAACTCACGTCATTCCTTATCATGCTACCACTTTCCAGGTGAATTCTCTCTTTGAAACTCATCATCATTTATCCTCCTCGCTCCCCACTTGTCTTGATTATACCACAGAATTTATTTTACTCGCATCTTTCTATCAACAATCTTCTTACCACACAACAAATGTCATCTATCTTATCCATGGTGTGATTGGCAAGATTGGTAAGTCACTACATTGCAAGTACTGTATTGTACCATTCTTTACAGGGCATTGTTTTATATATTTCTATGTAAAAAAAATACCAATATATAATATTTTATTATTATTGTTTTTGGGTGTGTTGTTAATTACAGTATATTGTTAAATGTGTGTGTATGTTTATAGTGTTCTCAGATTACTTACAGTGCCAGCATTGCTCCATACAGCACCAGTATTGCTCCAGTGGACTGTATGAATTAAAAGATTGGGCCTAATAAATATAATTGAGATTAGGTCTTTTATCTCCCTTGCCATTTCATTGTTTCCTTAACCCTTGTGTATAGGTTCCTCCTCTGAGCTGAATAAAATCGTCTGGCATTAGCCAAATAAAATATTATAAGTGGTGTCCCCATAGTGAAGGTGTTACTACTTTAAACCCAATTCATATAAATGTAATGTGGAACTGTACTTTCAGATTAGGTTAGGTTAGCTCTGAGTATGCTAGGTTAGCTTTGGTTAAGGTAAGTTAGTCTAGCTCTGGTTGGTATTGGTCAAGTTGAGTTATATAAAGTTAGCTATGGTTCAGTTATGTTAGATTTGCTCAGGTTAGGTTGGCTTTGGTTAAATTAGGTTAGGTTACTTCTGCTTAGGTTTGGTTAAATTAGTTTAAGCTAGGTATGGTTAGGTTAATTTAAATTAGGGTTAACCCATACATGGTTACTGACATTAATTATGTTTTCCCATGTAATACACTAATTGGTCACTGACTTAATTCACTTCAGGATAAGCTAGGGTTCCCAAGGCTTTGCTAAGGGCTCCTATGGGTCCAAATCTGTAGAATAACTCATTTTATACAACTTGTGGCTATGATTAAATTCATGGAAGCCAACCCATACCCTCCCAAGGGACAAGTGGGAGGTGGCCTTTCTCCCCACCATCCATCCAGCCAACCCAGTTCTCAACCAGAACATCGATCCACACACACAAAGAAGAGGATCATCAAGCCCACCTGTGTACTTGACTACAGCAGCAACCTGCACCTTGTTGACAAGTCTAACAGCATGATATCTACAATGGAGTCTGCAAGTAAGACAATCAAGTGGAACAACAAGCTATTTTTCCATCTGTTCGACTTGACGCTCCTCAATGCTCACATCCTGTTCATGTCTGTCACCAAGAAGATGGTCTTCCATGACATTGTCCACGAGGTGGTATGTGTGTGTGCTCCTGCGGGAATATGCGGAGGAGAGGATGAATGCCCATTTCAGATGTCTCCATAATGAACCTACCCACATCATCCCTCATGGCCACTGTCCTTGCACCATTCAAATTGCGCCAGCTATGACACAAAGTACTATTGCCTTGATTGTAATGTGCCGTTTGTGTGTTGACCCTTGTTTCCGGGAGTACCACACTCTGGGTGTGTATCAAGTGCTTGGTACAATGTATAATATAGTGATAAGTGTATATATTAGTGTAAGAAAATAGCATAAGAACAATTTGATAAGTGAATAGTGCGTAATTGTGTGGAGGCCGTGAAACAGATGAGGCAGGGTGTTTGGTGAAGGGAAGACCATCACGTTCCACATAGCGTTGTTACCACATATCTGTGTGAAAACTCTCAGAACACTATATGACAGGCAACTTTGTGCCTCCAGTGTACATAGTGTATATACGGGTATAGAAAATTTTTATAGCTATAGTGTTAAGTAAATAGCATAAGGAAGTGGTAGCAGACATGATAGCACCTCAGCATCGCTGCATCCATGGCAATGCCCAACTGCCCAGGACCTTTAAACCAGGTAAGGAGTTTACAGGTGTGCTTTTCACGGTTACCACATGACTTTGGGGGTTGTGTTGGCCCCCCCCCCCAAAAAAAAAGGAAAATATTTGGCCATCTAGGCACAACCTAGATTAAATTAATTGACCATTAATGCATTAAGTTACATTCGTTTAACTCTGGTTAGGTTAGATTTGTTCTTGCTATGTCAGGTTAGCTCTGATTAGGTTAGGTCAGCTCTGGTTAGGTTTGATTAAGCCTAGTTAGGTTAGATTAGCACTTTTTTAACTTGGGTTAACCTAATCCGCCTGGTATCATTAGAGTGATTCATTAATTATCAGGTGAAACTAGATGGGGTGTTTAATCTTCAGGTGATCCAAAAGTAATAGCTTATTAAATATCTTGAAATAACTGTCAGGAGAGTGTACTGTATATGAATGTTGGTTACAACTTTATCTAACTTATTTAAAAGAGCACATGTGTTCCCTCATTACCCTTACACACACCACTTACAGTACATGAAAATTGTGATTATATGTGTATATTAGCCTCTTGGCTTATTTTACCTCATGAGTAAACACCCTAAAACTATGAAGGGGGGTTATGTTACGTAAGGCCATGGTATATATGGTTAGTTTTAGGCTAGGTCATGTTAGGTTATGTTTTGTATGGTTAGGTTAAGTCAGCATTAGGTTAGGGAATCATTAGGTTGGTAAATCATCAGGTGATCCCACTCAGAACCGTTGTATCATACCTGTATAATTAGTGTTATCACCTTGATAGATGGAGCAACAACTCTCACTCCTAGACATCTACTATGGATTGCTGGGGTAATCTTTGATATAGAATTGGCGCACATAATAAATTGACACCTTGCCATATACTTTCCCTATGTTGTGTGGAGAGTGCTAGACAAACCCCTCTATATTCTCTGGTGAGAATATATATGGCAAGAAACTGTAATGTTAATTTTTATGTTTAATATGTGCTTCTGTATAATATGAATAATGTTTTTTTTATGAAAATATAATGATATAGTATATGTGATACTGCATGTAGAGAGTTTTGTCCTATAATATGTGGCAGGCGTGTTGGGCAACTTTGGTCAGCTTACACGGTGAAACAATACTGTATGTACCAGTAATTCCACCAATTAAAAAAAAAAACAGTTGTATAGCAGAGTTAATATTCCCAGTTAAGTGCAGTACACTTTTCCATATGTAATGTTTATACTTCATACCTTACAGCTAACTTACACAAGTGTGGAACAGTGGAAAATGGATGTTTATATTAGCGTAGCTTAAGTTAGTGCAGCTGTCCAGGGAGGCCATGGCCATCGGAGGGAAATTCTTTGACTCCCGCTTCATATTTCTACCGTGTGCATCAAACTATCAGTTCATAATCAAAGAATGCTTCTGATCTTGCATCTGGCAACAGTCACATGATCACATCCCCTGTTCCACATGGTGGTACATGGCCTTGGAACCCTGCAGCATCACACATAATCACGGTAAGTTGAATATACTTGATCAAGGTTATGCTATGTCAACCTCCTTGCACATTTACATAAAAGTTGATGAGGAAAATTCCTGGAATTACTTCACCGTTAGTAAATATATTGTTATCGTTAGGTAGTGAGATAGTCCCTAATATATTTGATTGAAATTCTTAATATTTTATTTTTATCTGAATGGTGTACATAAAGGCCTTAGTTAAGAACGTTCAGGTTACGGGCAAGTCGAAGGGAATGATTGAAACCCGTCTTTTGACGCATTCAATATTTATTGATGTGGTCAAAACCTGCAGAGGAGAAGGCGTTCATAATATTACAAGGTGATCCATCTGATACATAATTAGTTAGTCTCACACAATTTTATCTTAATTACAATTTATTAAACATACTGACATAACAAAAAGTTCATAACTCTATTAATCTTAGCTTCGCTTCATTCTGCATTGTCTTATTACTCCAGGTTAGGCAGAAACGAGTAGGCGTAATTAGTCAACAATATTTCATTACCGAGGGGTATGTCATCACTTAGGCTGTACTTACAAGTGCGAGTCAATGCAGATCAGTATGGTGTTCCAAGAGAAAACAGTACAGTATTGCATAAATCGTCCCAGCACAAATTCTCGGACAGGAGAAGGCTGGTCTTCACAGCATCACTAGAGAGGGCGATCTGTCTCATGGAGGGGCGGGCAGCCACTGCCACCAGTCTAAGACAGTCCACTCAGCAGAACCAGGACTTGTCTGTAAACACTTCTACATCTGGCGAGGTCACAGGTCGAAAGATTTAATGGCATCACACGCCAGCACTGAAACCATAGCCATCCTCACGGGCATTCATGAGGGGGCGACCTATGCTCGCACTGAACGCCGGAACCTCCTGATAATCAGTGACAGCACTTCTGTGCTCGTGACAAATTACCCTGTAGTGGATTTCTCCCCTACAAACGCTGTTTGTCGCTGAGTAGCCGACCCCACGAATTCCCCTGTGTATGCCTCGTGGTCTGGGCCGACCAGTGCCGCCCACGGAGCGGGAGTCAACTATCTACCCACGCCTACCTCCGCTATAAAAGACCTGACCTCGTGGTGACCACCCTCTTTTCTACCTACACCAACCAGCTAGCAACACCTCCTCTTCCGCCTGCCTGGCGGTCCTCGCTCCCACCGGCGAGCATGGCGACCCACAAGCTGGTCCTCCTCTGAGCACCCTCACCAACCAGCTCTCTCTGCATCACGCTTGTAACCACGCTGCCACTTCCCAGCACCAAGCTGCATTGTACATCCAATACAACATGTATACAGAGAGCACATTGTGAGTTTCCTTTCTCCATCCCATCCTGAGTGTGAACCAAAATACAATACCCCACAAATGGTGACCCCTGGAGATTCGCACTCACATAGGATGGAGGAGAAACAGATCACGCTCCCAGTCTTCAAGCAACTTGGAAGACTGGCTTATCCACCCAGAGGCAGCTTTCATCGGCTCTACAGCTACTGTCTCTAAACCGCAGGTTAGACACCCTAGAGCAGCACTGCTTCTCTAAGCAGACACCAGCTCCTCTTCCTGCCCCAAGCACCACGTCCTACCGACCCCAGTACACCCGTCCTGCCTCAGACGCCGCCCCTGGCCCAGCAGTACCCCCTGCCGCTTCTCCTGATGCAGCCCCTGCTCCCGACGCGGCCCATGTGCCTGAGTGCGGACCCACACACCCCTCTTTTCTCCCTCAGGTACCCCCCTGCTACTGTCCTGCACCCTGCTGCTGTCATGGACCCAGCTGCTGTCACGAGCCCTCATCCGCTTCTGCTGACGCAGCCCCTGCTCCTGACCCAGGCCCACACCCCCCAGCAGGCGCATCTGACGACTCTACATGTCGCGAGTGAAGCACAATATTCATCGCCTCCACAACCCTCTTTCTCCTCTTCTCCCACAGATCTTGTGTGTCTAGACAGTTGCCTCCACTAGCGGCCGGCTCATCCACGCCATCGCCGTTATGTTTCGCATG